GCTGGTGTTCTGTACTTATTTGAGTGACAAGCTGAAGCAGACCCTGCAGGCTCCAGACCTGGGGATTGGGCAGCCTGGGGCAAGGAGAAATGACTATGGGGACACAACTCAAGTCTGCTTCCAAATGCCAGGTCCCCAGGTCATCTGAGTTCTCTTGGATGTCTCCCACTTTCTTTGAGAACTAAAGGTCAAGAGCTAAAGGGCATGCTGAGTGTGTGGGGAAAGCCTCCGCAGGCACTGCTGGCTGTCCCTGCTGAAGCAGAGCTGGGGTGATCTGTACCATACACACTACATCTGCTCCACTTTTGAGGGGGTGGCAGAGGCATTCCAATAGATACAAAGGGGCACATGGGAAAGGGCTGCACTTCCTGGCTCCTCTTCCTGATGGCTGATTTCCCAGGGCTGCCCTTCAGAAACTGCTTTGAGATAGTCTCTTCTCTGGTATGGGTCTTGGGGATTGGCAGGCCATCTGCCGATATGTACTGAAGCCAGATGCCCAGGTACCTATGGATATAACTTCATGCAACTATCCAGTGCAGAAAGGGCCAGAACCCAGTACTCTCAACCTTGATTCCACCAGGATCTTTTTTTTTTTTTTAAAGAGAGAGTGAGAGAGGAGAGAGAGAGAGAGAGAGAGAGAGAGAGAGAGAGAGAGAGAGAAAGAGAGAGAGAGAGAGAGAGAATTTTAATATTTATTTTTTAGTTATCGGCGGATACAACATCTTTGTTTTGTATGTGGTGCTGAGGATCGAACCCGGGCCGCACGCATGCCAGGCGAGCGCGCTACCACTTGAGCCACATCCCCAGCCCCCACCAGGATCTTCAAGCCCCAGGAGCCCAGCCACAGCTCAGCTCAGCATCTCCACTCCTTGAAGGCTCTCCTAATGAAGCCAGATGGGCAGGGACCTGGAAACCCCAGAAAGCAGACAGGCTAGGCAGACTGCACTAGGAGCAGTGCCTGGCTAAGAGGGCCCTGTGCCTCTATGCCATTGTAGGTAGGGCAGGAGACATCACTGCGCCAGAACCTTCTGAGTGCTCAGGACCACAAACAGGGTAGCTTCTCTGGCCTTTCCATGGCTTCAAATCAATCACTGGCCCATACTGCCTGTTGTGTCTGGAGCTGTGCCGAGGACAAGCAGGTCCCTTGAAGTAGACAAGCACCTTCAACCTCCCTTCCACGCAAAAGCCACAACCCATTCAGAGCCCACAGCCTTAAGACCACTTTATTTCAACGAGTAGGGGTCAATCTGGTATGTCTGTAAGTTTGAACTCCATGGTGATATCTCCGGTGTTGGGGTGAAACTCCACAGTATAGGTGACTGCCCGAGGGCTGCCCAGCAGCGGCACTCTAGGATCCAGTGTGGGGTTGAGAAAGTACACGCCCTGCTTGCAGTGGGGGTTCCAGCAACAGTTCCCCTGTGGGAAGAGCATCAAGAGATGGAGAAGGTCCCTGGCACCAGAACCACCTTCCTGGTCAGCCTCCAGCCCAGAAGCTTGCAGTGGGGAAAAAAAACAAATCTGCTTAGGGGGCCAGGTGACCACTGAGTAGCTATCTGGCTTTAAGAACACAGAACAGGAATACCCAGAGCACAAGGGGGGGTCAGCACACTCTGGGTTTGGTGCACACGGCACTACCTTGTCTTCGACAGGCTCCAGAAGGCCAGTGCTAACAGTGCTGTCTGGTGTCAGGTGGTATTCCATCCATAGGACAATCCCATGACTTCTCCCAGGCCTGTAGTTATGGGTCAAACAGAGAGTCACACAGAAATGGGGGAGTACAGGCCAGGCTCCCCTCTGCTTTCCTGAAATGCCTGGCCTTTACCATTCCCATCCCATCCAGTTCGGTGCTCTTAACTCTCCACACCCCACCTAAATAAAGGCCACACATAAAAAGCATAGCAAGAGGGGCTGGGGATATGGCTCAAGTGGTAGCGCGCTCGCCTGGCATGCATGGGGCCCGGGTTCGATCCTCAGCACCACATACAAACAAAGATGTTGTGTCCGCCAAATGCTAAAAAATAAATATTAAAAAAAAAAAAAAAAAAAAGCATAGCAAGAGCAGCCGCAGCTCAGATTCCCCTTCATTCCTTGTACCTAGCCAAGCACTCAGAATCACAGCAGGGCAGAGCTGTGTGCTGCAGGTCAGCCCCTACAGGCAGAGGACCAGTGGTATAGAGCCAGGCTCCTCCCAGATACACTGGAAGACAGCCAGGCATCAGTCCTGCCTGCCTGTGCTGTCACCTGGTGCACAGAGCCCTGGGAGCTCTATCTCAGGGCTTCCGCAAGTATTAGGAGGCACTCTTCTACATGAAGGAAGCTGGAGCTGGGTAGGGTCTCTCAGGCTCACAGCAAGCAGCTCTCACCAATCCTAACCTGCTTTAATCCCAGGAGAGTTCAGGAAAACAGTCCAGTGGGTAACCATAGTAACCAAGCTCCCATTTCTCTGTAGTTGATCCCGAAGGGGAGCTTAGACAAAGGTATGAGGAAGGCCCACTTGGAGTCCTCCTCCCTGAGGCTGTGGGACCCACCATACATGCAAGAAGGGCAAGGATGAGATGAGGACATGCCACGGGCCAAAAGTGTCTCCCAGGCAAGCTGTACTTTGCTATATGGGCAGTAACTGCTAGAGGCAAAGCAGCCCCTACTTCCTCCACCCCAACACCCTCCCAGAGTCTCCACTCACCTCCTCAGCTCCATGGCGCCCTCAGCACACACAGGCTGCTGGGGAACGGGCTGCCGAAAATCAAAGGTCAGGAGCCTCTGGGGTTCTGAGAGGCTGCGGCAAGGGTATTCCCACAGCGGGTGGGGCTCTGCCTCCTTGCTCTCTCGGAAATCCAGGGCAGACTGAGAGAAGGAAATGGGGAGGGGCAGGTATCTGTAGAGCTGAGCTTAGAGCCACAGGGACTCTCCAGGATTCATGCCAGGGACCCCCTCAACTCTATAGCCCCTGAGGAAAACTGCAGTCACATGGAGCAGCATGTTCTCACAGAACATCACCAGGCACCTGGTCAGTTCGCTTCTCGCTCTCCCTTCCCTGCCCACTCACTGGCTGGCTCACTTCAATTCTCTAAGCCTCACTTTCTACCCTTTTACCTGTGAGGACAATGCCTACTCTTGAGCTATTCTGTGGACCAAATGTCTATGTTGGTGAAACATCTGGTGCTTAGACACTTACCTGTTCACTGATACTGACCACTAAAACTGTGAGATCAATGACAGAAGGCTCAGAGGCTGGGAATGGGGAGAAATGAACACGTAAGCAAGCAGGCCCAGTGCCTGAGAAAGCACTGGCATCTGGGTGGGAATGGTGCTGGGGTGGGCAGAAGTGGGACAGGGAAACTGTCTGGAGGAGATAACTCAAATAGGAGCATGGTCGGGAGAGGGGATGGCTGAACAAGAACCAAGCAGGGAAAGGAGGCAGGAACAGCCCCAGGTTACTTTGGAGGGCTTGGGGACAGGCCTTTCCCAGAGAGGGAACATGGCCAGCTTCAGGATCTACATGGGCTCCAGGCAGAGGAAGCAGGAGCGGCAGGAGGCTGTAGCCCAAAGGGGCCCTGACAGAATCTACAGCAGTATGGGGAAAAAACTGGATTGGAGGCTCCCTGGGAATCAGACAACCAACTGCAAGTTGGGAAGGAAGATGTCCCTGAAGAGATGCCAGGTCTTAGGTAGGAGCACTGGAAGGCGCTGGGCTGAGGGCAGAAGGGCAGATGCACTGGGGCTGGGGCAGCACAAGTCTAATGGAGATGTCTGCCACTCTCAGCTATCTGGTCTGCATGCAGGAGAGAGACGCAGACACTAGGCTGGAGTTGCAGCTCAGTGGTAGAGCACTTGCTTAGCATAGGTGAGGCACTGGGTTTGATCCTTAGCCCCACATAAAAAACAAATAAAAAATAAAGGTTAAATTCTAATCAGAGAAGGTGGGGAGGGAGGCAGATACTGACCAGACACCAGAGTGGCAGAGTCTTATCAGCTACAAAGGGGACAGGGGACAGCACAGGTAGGCAGAATCAGGAGCAGGGACCAAAGCAAGACACAGAATATGTGACACTTCAGATGATAGGCAGGGTGGTGGGTGCTTAGGAAGGAATCTCAGGAGTAACCAGAGACAGCAGAGGGATCCAGAGATTATGCATGCAGTTTCTTGGCACAAAGGAGATTTATTAAAAAGGAATTTTCTAGAAGCATGGATAATCAGTAGACTTCTAGGGAAGGGAAGGTGAGATATAAATAGAAAATACCCACAGGATTTATTTGCTTAAAATATGTTTATACAGCAATCCATGTTCACATACAAAAATGTTAACTGAAAGATAAGCACAAGGGGGGAAGGTCTCCACTCTCTGATTGCACAGCTAACACAGCAGTGCCCACTATTTCACCTTCTTCTCCCTGTACGTATATGTGAATTTTTTAATCATAAAAATAGGACCATGACATCCTTGTGTGGATGTGTAAACATGTCACAACTCTTCAGATCAAACTTCACAGAGACACAAACCACTGTGGTTGTCATGACTGCCCTGGGTTGTAGGGGACACAGACCCTGGTGGTCACCCACCACTGTTGGACATTCAGGGTGTTGCCAACATCTACCATACACTGCAATGGGAAAGTACAAAAGTACAACATACACACCACAGGGCTACACTTCACAACACTGCAGGATGGACCTCCGTGCATATGCTCCCCATGCTCAAGCGTTCTCCCCTAGAAAGTAACCCCCAAATGAAAATGCCACAAGTTACCCAACTGCCTTGCAGGAAGACTGCCCCAACAGAAATAAGCTGTTGACATTAGTAGGAACAGTTTCAATGGTGTGGTGATATACATATAGACCCTGGCCCAAGATTCTGAATCAGAGGTTGTAGCACAGGGCCAAGAACAGGCAGCACATGTGACTTCTGCCCAAAAGAGAAAAGCTCTCTGCACACTCCTCTGCCACCCAAGCCAGGACTGGGGTCATGTGGAAAGGATGAGTTGGACAGTGCCATACTTACCTTAATCATGTCATCCATGATGTGCACGTCAAAGCCTTCACAGTCACCACAGGGGCTCCGGATCCGCCACAGGTCCTGTGAGCAAAGTACAGACCTGTCTATAGCTAACCAGAGCCACAGAGAAATGTGATGACAAGAACAGAAGGGTCAAGAGGCCAGCAAAACCAGAGGCAAATCTTACTGTTCCTGCTGCACACTTGGGACAGATTTCCCAAGCCTGAAGGGACAAAGAGACCAAAGAGCCAGGGCAGTTTCAGTTAAGACTCGACTGGGAATCTGTAAACTTCTATGATACTACATTCTTTCCTCTATGGAACAACCAGTCAAGAGCTACCGGGCTACAGTTTGGCACTTCCTGTCCAGACTACCCTGGGATTTTTTTTTTTTTTTAACTCTCCAAATAAAGCAATTCTCCAAGGCTCAGTGCCGTAAGCAAAACACAAGAATGATGGCAAGGAAAAGGTCCACTCTGATATTCCATCTCTGTCCTCTGCTTCTTGGTACATATAACCTAGGGATATGCATTCTTCTCTATAGCTCTTCTTTGGACATGAGAAGCAGAATTCACCTGAAAAATTTTATCAGGTAAAAAATACAGAAGAAATGTCCAGAAATTAAGTGATGGACCACAAAGCTACCAACAGACAGAGCTATTCTTATAAAAGAAATATCAAACGCTATTCATTCTACATTTCAGGTTAAAAGCATTTCAAAATCCTTTTAATAAAAAATGCCTTTCCCAAAATGACTGCAACTGTGGTTCTGCTTTGATGAGAAAATTAAAATGAAGCTTTTCAATTTCTTCTTGCATAAAGAAGCTGACTCCCCATCTCAGAATGCTTTAACAACCGAGCCTCCGCTCTTAATGAGAGCAGAGCAAGCCGCACAGCTTGTCTTCTGAAACACTTAATTTATATTTTTTAATTATTCTGATAAGCCACAATTGTGAAATGACAACACACAGCCATTTCCATTTCATATGTCAAATTACTGCTTTCTAAAATGGCAAGCTTCTCCTATTCAGCCCTGTGGTGCACTGATATGAAAAGAAAAGCCCAAGTCATCAAGGCCTAAGTTGTTCCATCTGCACCTAAGGTCTCTGCAAAAAATCAGATTCCCCACCCTTCTCCTGCTTTTGTTTTTTTGCAAAGCTCTCTGGGTTGCCTACCCTGAACTCCACGACCATAGCGTGCAGTGAGGCAGCCTGGGGCATCACCACAGCACCAGGCTTTAGGTGCTGGTCCACAGCGGTCCGGACATACCAGAAGTACAGGTTGTGCCACGGCAGCAGGCTGGTGGTGAAGAAGGGCTCACCCAGAAGGAGGGAGACCTGGGAAACAGAGCAGAAGCAGGTCCCTGGTATCAAAAGCGCCGACAAGTAAAGGGCAGGTCACCAGTTTCACAGAAACTTGGAAGTAATGGGCTGTTCATTCATTCACTCAGTCAGTGAATAGCTACACCAGGTCTGTACCTGCCTGAAGACACAAATATGAGAAAGATATGAGTCCTGCCCTCAGGAGCCCAGAGTAGAGAGTGATGGAGACAAGGTGGATACTGTCCTCATCTGACAAAAGCAAGGAAGGGGTAGGTGCTTGCATACAGGGGCTTCAGAGGTAACAGCACCAGAAAGAGCTTGCAGAATGGCATCCTGCCAATCCTCACTCAAAGCTGTACCACAGTTGATCAGTGCTGCTTGAACTCTGCTGCCCCCACTAGGTTCAAGTATCACATGAGATCCACAGCACGAGGCCTGGCAGGAGCAGATGTTCAATAAACATTTGCTGAGTAAACAAACAAATGCATGACCAGGAGTCAGAAAATCAAGGAAGGGGAGAGAGATTCCAGGCAAAGGGAGAGGCAGAGGCCAAGCAAGAGCCCAAGAGGTAACAAGGCCTTCAGGGAGCTCCTCAGGACAGGATAGATGGCAGGATGGTAAGGGGGGGCCAAGACATGGACAGAAGACAGATCACCCAGAGGCAACTGATGACCAGTTAAGGGGGCCCAGAACTTGCCCTAGAGGCATGAGGGATCACCAAAAGTTTTAACCAGGAATTTGAAATAAGGATTGTATTTTAAAAGATCCTTCTGAGGAGCATAAAGTATTGTGGGGAGAGGTCTGTAGGTGGAGCTGAGGACAGGAGGTGACTTGGGTGGGTGTTGCAATATCCAGGTCAGGAGGCAGGTGTGCAGAAAGGGAGAAGCAGCATGTGTAGAGGCCAATGAGACTCTCCAGGTTGGGGGCCCTCAGAACAGGCATCAGGTTACACTCAGTAGCAAACACTGATACCAGAACAGGGTTGGCCCTGGGTACCTGACTGCCTCTTTCCTCTGCACCCAACAGCAGGAAAAAAGGCATAAATGCCTGCTCTTATCACTTTGATTCAGTAAGGACATGCAATCTGGCTAGTGTGTCACACAAATGGTTTACATATTTAATTATCTTCTAAACCCTCATCTACAGGGGAAGAAAGGGCAATTTGTATCTGGATGTTCATAGCAGCACTAGTCACAACAGCCAAAAAGTACAAACAGCACTAATGTCTATTAACTGATAAATGGATAAATAAAATGTGGTATATCCATATAATAGTAGCTTACTCAGCAACAAAAAGATGAGATTCATATTTAGGTACAACATGGATGATCTTTTTTATTTTATTTTTGTGTGCCTGAGTATGCTGTTATAGATGGACAGAATGCCTTTGTTTATTTTTATGTGGTACTAAAGCTCGAACCCAGTCCCTCACACGTTATGCAAGCGCTCTGCCACTGAGCTACAGCCCCTGCCAGAACACGGATGATCTTTTATACTGTATGATTCCATTTACAAGAAATGTATAAGTGGCACATTCACAGGGAAAGTAGTTGCCTAGTGCTGGGAAGACTGGGGGCAAATGAGGAATGACCAATAATGGAAACAGAGTCTTTTAGGGTACAAAAATATTCTAAAGTTGATGTGGTGATAGTTCCACAACCTTAAGAATATACTGAAATCAATGAATTGCACACTGTGAATTAACTATATAGCAAGTGAATTATATCTTAATAAAACTATTATTTTTAAAAAGGCATGATGATCGCTTCTTAGCCTTTTAGCTAAGATCAAGTGTAGTATCTGTTCTTATAGGACAATACAGTAAATGGATTTTTGGAGCAGGGAGATGGAATAGGATCTTGCTCTGTCTATACCACACATCAACCTGGTATTGCAGCACCTCCACAAACAGTGCATCCCCTTCAGGGATATTAAAAAATATAAAACAAGAAATAAAAAGGCATGATAGTAAAATGGGCAAGAGACATGAACAGACATTTCACCAAATATATAAACAGCTAATAAACACATGAAAAGATAAATTAAAATTGCACTGTCACTGCACATCCATTAAAATGATTATACTAAAAAAGAAATAATACCAAGTATTGGTGAAGACACTAAGGGGAACACATGGTGTAACCACTTTAGACAACAGCTTTATCAGTTTCTTAAAAAAATTGAACATAATTTTTAGCTAGGTGTGGTGGCATACACCTGTAATCCCAACAGGATCCAGAGGATCTGGGGAGAAATATTCTAAAACTGGACTGGGTGACAGCTGTATAAACTCTCCACATTTACTAAAAACCATTAAATTGTATACTTCAAAATGGGTTAGTTTTATAGTATGTCAATTACATCTCAATAAAGCTGTTATCAAGAAGAAAGGTTGGCAGAAAAGACAAAGGATGATAGGTTATGCTTTGGATGAATTCAGCTTACGGGATATTCAAGGAAAGCTTATGGGTTGGCAGTCAAGACATAAGAGATTTGAATCCAAAAAAGATAAAGAGCCTACCCACAGTGAAGACTGACTTTCAGGGTTACTGGGTTCACATATGGAAAAGGACGTCATTACCTGGAGAAGAGATGCAGCAGAGGGGGCAAGAAGGGATAAAGGGACAGACTGAGTATGGAAAATAGCATGAAGTGAGGATCAAAGTGAAGAGAGACAACCATGAAGGAGACTAAGAATGAGCAGCCAGAAGGTAAGAGCAAAGAAAAACCCGGACAAGTGGTCTCTTAAAAGTAAAGAGGAGGTCCATCAGGTAACATGGGCCCAAGGGCCACAGCCTAAAGACAGACCATATTTAGTAACCCTGAGGCTCCCGGTGGAAGCAGCTCCAGGAGCTAGAAGAATTACAGTGGGAGGACAGGAGCAAGAAGAAGGGAAGAGGAGAGTGCTATCAAGAGAAAGAGAGAAACACTCTGCTCCTTTAACCCCTGCAGGCTGCACTGTCCTCACCTGAGGAGTGCAGTTGTGTACTTGTGGGGCCTCTGTACAAATACCCACCATGCCCTTCACAGTGGCCAGGTCTCAGCTGGTAAGCTACATGGGGGACACCATGAGGCCCACAGGACAGGGTAGAGCTGCAGCTATCTCAGTGTTGTGCTATCCAACCTTACAGGGCCCCAGTGTGACCGCAGTTTCTGTTCCTCACCTTCTTACCCTCCAAGTCTGCAGTCGTTAGTAACTCAGGCCGTTTCTCAATGATATTAATTTTATTTTCCAAGTGGTTAGCCTTGAAGATCTTAGAAAGAAAACAAATATAATTAGAAAGAAAACAAATATAAATACTATTTTGGTCCAGGAAAAGAAAACAATGACAACAACAACAACAAAACTCAGTCTGGGGTGTAGCTCAGTGGTAGAGCACTTGCCTGGTGTGAGGCCCTGGGTTCAATCCCCAGTATGGCAAAAATTAAAAACAAAAAAGCACTTCTTCAAGTTGTCTTCTCTGCTTTGAGTTTTCTGGCCAAATGTTTCTGGAGGACAACTCTTTTATTTATTTTGTGAGGCCCTCTCAAGAGGCCTCCTACAGACCAAGGATGAGGTCATGAGCAAACTCTGTGCTAGCAACAGACATTTTTCTTACAGGCACATGGCAGGATCCAGCACCAGGCTTGCAGTTCTGGTGAAGGCAGGTTATCCTTTGGAAAGGAAATCAATCACTGCCAGGGAGAGAAATGGCATCTCTAGTCAAGGTAAAGGCAGTTACTCCCTGAGCACAAATCACTCAGTTGTAGAGCTGAAGGGATTTTAGTTTTCTTAGTTTTATGTGAAGTGAGGAAAAAAGCCTAAACTTCTTCATCCACAAACCCCAAAGCAGAGTCCAAATGTTTGCTTCTACTTTGATGCTAATCTCAGAAAATGTCCAGGCCAGCTCTCTGGCCACACACACAAAAAGGCTCTCAATGCAGCAACTACTTCTCTCTCATCTCTTTGGTACCAATGTTGCTGCAAAGACCCATCCAATACTCAGGAAAGAAAACCCCAAAGGTCCCGTTGTTAATTCAGTAACAACAATCATAACTTACCTTTTTCATCAGTTTATGGGAAGCTGCTGAACTCTCAATTGTAAATACCTAGAGAGAACAGCTATGAGTTACCAGAGATGCACTAGCAGAGGAGGAAATCCAAGATGAAAACATGACAAAACTATTCCAGGGAAGAAGACCTCACTCAAATAACTCTGTATTGACCACCTACCTGGGACAGCACCTACTTTGGGCACTGACCCTGGCAAGCTGGCCAACTCAGAACTCTGAGCTGCATTTTCATGGCAGTTGTTACAGCCTGACTTGCAGGAAAATCCCTCAGCTCCTAAACCAACCACACTCTACACACCTGCACTTGCAAAGAGCTTTGATTACAGAATTGTGTATATGAATCACACAATGCCCTAACTCAATGAACTTTTAATAATGAAAAACAGCAAAACAAAAAAGAAAAGTAAATAAAAATAAATGAAATTAAAAAGAGAAAGAGGAAAGACTCAACCTTAGGAAGCCAACAGAAAGACACATGTCCAGTACCTGCTCTGCCCCGAGGTAATAGGCCAGCATGGAGAGCAGACTGCCATCACTGACACACAGGCAAATGCTGTCTGGGGTCAGCACCTGCAGGAAAAGAACACTGAGAACAAAGTTTTCTTAGTTTCTTAGGAGATTCCTGCTGGCAACATGAGAGAAAGGCTTCCCTTTTCCCAATCCCATGTACAAGGGCTGATAATAAAATTGATCTCATTCCATTTTCCCCACTGCTAAGTTGGATCCTCTTGGGTCCCCATGCTGTCATGTCTGTCTCCAGGGTCTATGCAGTAACCAGCCCCCACCTTTGCTTACATCTCCCCATTTGTGCCCATTGCCTGGAAAGATGCTCCTCAATCCACCTAGCAGACCTGACTGAAGGCCTGTCCCACTGGCAGGAAGTCACCTCCAGTCTTCATGATAAGTTTCTTCTCGATCTGACCCACGTGTTCTCAAGTGACTCCCCAAAGGCAGAGGTACCTCTATAGATCAGATTCCTTGCTGAGGAATTTAGGACAGCTTGGATCCTTTCTTTCACTGAAAAAGGCATGCATGTGTACCCATGCACATGGATTTCTGTATATAACTTCAAGGGGTCCAAGAGGTCCCCTTTAAACTCCACCTGGGGTCCCTAGTCTAAGTGCCCTCTATAGGCAGCAGCAACATAGGTTTTCAGTACAAGAAGTTCCATGGTCAAATTCACATTTTAGAAGATTTTAGAAAGGAGCAACAGATGAAAAGATGGGTGGCTAATGTCACTGGGTTCACCCACACTGATGGCTGGTGGCCACAAAAGCAAAGGTGTTCAGCAGGACAGAAATGGGCTGGGGAGAACTTGTTGTTCTCAGAGGAACTCTCACAGGAACAGACAGCAAGTCCTTTGGAAGTCCAGAGTAAGTTCTCTGGCTTTCTAGTACCCACCCCAGATGGAGCCAGCAGAAGCCCCTTACAGATGAGGGAACACAGAAAACAAGATTAGTAAATCATAAGCAGAATGCTGGAGTCTATGGGAACCAAAGGGTCAGACACTCACAGTCCTCAATGCCTGGGCATACTGATCAGTTCTATCCTGATCATTGATCTCTCCGAATCGAGGTCGATTCCAGAGCAGGTGAGCTTGGCAGTCACAGACAGGGCGCATTTGGTGGACTCTCCCATTTTCTTCAGGGCTAAACCAGAAAATGAACATAGACAGGTGATGAACACAACCTGCTAGATGCCAGAGAGTGAGTAGGCACGGCATAGGAACCTGCCCAGTGGAATTTGACCTGGGCCCTAAGGGTCTCTCTATAGGGTATGAGTCTGAACAATGGCTCTTGAGTAGGCACTGGAGGTTACAGGGCCCTCTGATTGCAGACTTTTTATATAAAATAGGATTAAATGGACTCTAGCAAAACATGAAAGCCTCTTCTGAGTATACACAAATGGTCTCTGACACAGCCACAAACCTTTGTTTTTATTCTGTTTAGAAACAAAGCTGCACACTCACATCTCTATAGGGTCTCTTCATGAGGAATTTACATCAATATGCAGTCTACAAGCCCAGTCCTCTACCTCCACAACCTGTAGCCCTACCTGGTCTTCTGAAGGCTGTACCATACACAGTAGTCATCATGGTGGGCTACCAGGCAGTGGGTTGTGCCCTGTACAATAGGTTCCTCTTGTGGCAGGAAGTACACACATTGCATCCAATGATCCCGCCACTGAAATGAGGAACAGAGCCAGCTGTCACCAAGCTGCAACAAAAGCAATGCTTCTAATCCAGAGGCTAAAAGTCAGGCCAAGTATCAGTTTGCAGGGAGACATGGTACAGACTATAGCTGGCTACTGTGGCCAAAGAGATAAAGAAAAAAATTCTCAAATCAGAGAATCCAGTGGCACAAAAGCTTGTTGCAACCCTGCTGGTTTTAGGAAGATACAACGTGGCCATGGGTAGTAGTCTCCAGAGTGGCTCAGGAGAAAAGAAAAGTACAGACTTCAGTCCCTACCCACAGAGTAGTGTCAGTGTTCTCTTTAATCTGCTGGGCTATGTCATATTTCATTTGAGGGAAAAATTTCCTGACTCCCAAACAAGGTTTTACCTATTGGTATGTAACAGACCCTGCCCTGAGAAGTTCCATGGCATTTCTATTCTACAGGGTTTAACATACTCACAATTTCCTTTGTCTTCTAAGTGACTTCAAAACCCAAAAAAGGTCAAATGTATTACATAAAACCTAACTGGATCCTGGATTGGGAAAAAAAACAAAAACTACTGAAGACATCTGGTGACAAGGAAAATTTATTTTGAATCATATATATTAGAAGTTATCAAGGAATTACTATTAGTTTTCTTTTTTGGGTGGTAATGGGGTTTGAACTCAGGGGCTCTCAACCACTGAGCCATATCCCCAGCCCTATTTTGTATTTTATTTAGAGGCAGGGTCTCACTGAGTTGCTTAGTGCTTCCCTTTCGCTGAGGCTGGCTTTGAACTCGTTATCCTCCTGTTTCAGCCGCCCAAGCTGCTGGGATTATAGGTGTGCCTCATTATTCCTGGCTACTATTAGTTTTCTTAAGAGCAATAATGGTATTTTACTTCTGTTGAAGATTTTATTCTTAGGAGATGTATGTTGAGGTATTTAACAGTAAAATGTTAGATTCTGCAACTTACTCGTGCATGCTAAGCAGGTGCTCTGCTACTGCCTGAGACTTTTTAATTTTAAAACAGGTTTTTACTGAGTTGTTAAGGCTACCCTCAGACTTGCAATCCTCCTGCCTCGGTCTCCTGAGTCACTGGGATTACAGATGTGTCAATGTACATGGCTATAACACAGATAGGTTAAGCATCAACAAATATCCACATTTGGAAAGAGATCAAAAAAGGTAATTATTTTGGGACCACAAGTGGACTTTTATTTTATAAAATGAGATTTATAATCTCTTTTCAAAAAAGAATGCAATAGCATTGTTTAAAAAAAGAACTCCCTAAAAACTGGATGCTTGGCTCCACCCTGATGATGCCTGTCCATTCTGTCATCCTCAGGAACTAGGAAAAATTTCACGCTGTGAGACTCCTAGGACATGGCTTAATCATCAGCAAATGAAGCCTGAGGCTTATCCCACTTCTCAGGGACATATCCCACCCCATCTAGACTTGAATTTAACAAATTTAACAAAAATTTAACAAAATCTAAGATCTCTGTTGAACATAAAGGCTGGAAAATGAAAATCCAACCAGGTATGTTCTGGAAAAACTACAATAATAACAAGAAGAAAAAAATAAAACAAGTTCTTAAACCTGTCATTCATTCCTGATGACAGGAGAAGCCTTCCTTACCCCTTGTGGCTCTTAGGGTGCTTCCCTGTCACCTGTCCTTCCCACATTCTCCACACAGGGAGTCCCCCAGGTCCTAATGCTAAAAAGCTGGTGGCAAAACCTCTGTTCCAAGGTACAACAGGCTAAATGGGATTAAAGCAGTCTCGTGAATTCATGAGGGAAATTCATTAGCAGCTTTCAAATTCCAGACAATTGAAAAGTTACCACTGTTAAGAGAAAGGACACAAGATTCATAGTCTGAAGAACTAAGGACCAGAACCACATCACTGCTTCCTGGACACAAGGAACTAAGCCTGTACCTGAACTTTCAGAGTCTGTGTATTGCTGTGGTTACTTAGCATGTCTTATATGTGGATTAAAGGAGAAAATACACAATAACAATCTAAGGATATGCAAATAAAATTTTAACATTCTAAGATTGAATTCTGACCAGCCCCCCCCCCCCACAGATGTGCGCATGCGTGGGCACTTAGCCAACAGAGGACTAAAGCTACTGAGGAAAGTTGGAACAAAAGTCAATAGTAGAGGCTAGGGATGTGGCTCAAGCGGTAGCGCGCTCGCCTGGCATGCGTGCGGCCCGGGTTCTATCCTCAGCACCACATACAAACAAAGATGTTGTGTCCGCCAAAAACTAAAAAATAAATATTAAAATTATCTCTCTCTCTCTCTCTCCCTCTCTCTTTAAAAAAAAAAAAAAAAAAAAAAAAAAAAGTCAGTAGTAACACCAAAAAGATGGTGCCTGAGATGCTCAAAGGTAGAGAGAAGGTTTTATATCTTGGCCCTAAAATACCTTTCACTGTTTTTGAGAAAGGGTCTCACTAAGTTGCCCAGGCTGGCCTTGAACTTGGAATCCTCCTAAATTGCTGGGATTACAGATATGCACCAACATGCCTGGCTCAACATTTTTATTTTTGTTTCACTCAAAAATACATCCTGGATGCTGACTCATAATGGCAATGGGGTAGAGGGAGCATGGGAGGAATGGAGGATCTGAAGATAGGGCAAAGGGGAGGGAGGGGAAAGAAGAAGGTAGAGGATAGGAATGATGGTGGAATGAGTTAGATATCATTACCCTAAGTACATGTATGAAGACACAAATGGTGTGAAAATACTTTGTGTATAATTTTAGTGACTTGAAAAATTGTGCTCTATATGTGTAATATGAAATGAACTGCATTCTGCCATCATGTATAACAAATCAGAATAAATTAAAAAAATAGAATAAAAAATGTGGATGAGATTAGTGCAGTCAAGAATTCCCTGAGACCTCTTCTTTTAAGCTTTAAATGGAATTACTTAAAGCACTTGAAAAAATAAAGACTATTGTTTGATTTAAAAAAAAAAAAACATCCTGGAGATTGTTCCACATCAGTGCCTAGAGAGCTACCTCATTCACCGAAAGGATACAGGATAATGACCCAAGGAGTTCTTACAGGCAGTCTTTAGGTTGTTCTTTTTCTACTAAGTTGGGCTTTGGTGAGCATTCTGCATGTACATTTTTCTGCAAATATGCAAATCTACCAGAGCCCAAATATGTACAAGTGGCATCACTTTTCACCAGGACCGAGCCACACTGTGCTCAATGGGTGTTCTGATGGTTCACTTTCCTGCTTTTTCCCCAAGCTTCATCATCAAGTGTGCTACCAAATTTATCCACTAATAGGTAAACATGGTATCTCACAGTACTTTATTTAGTTTTTATTTTCATTGCTGTTTAAAGTTGTAGTTCCTTACTATGAGTGAGGGTAAACAACTTATCACATGTTGATGAGTAATCTGTTTCCTTTTTGTAGTTCATGTTCTTCGCCCACTTTCCATTGAGCTATAGAAGATGGGAGTTTAAAGCCGCAGAAAGTGAGTCTGCGGTTCTCTATTACATTTATCTGAGCCCTTGCCTCCTGGAATTATTTGGGGTTGAGGGGAAGTATCCCAAGAAAATAGTTTTGCCAGGATGAAGGACAGCAGCAAAACTAAGACTTCTGTGTTGCAAACCATGACTATTGGTGATGATCATGAACTCATCCCAAGACATCTATCTTACCATAGCTAGTCTGTGCTTTAATTTTTTATTCATTTATTTTTTGAAGCACTAGGGCTAGAATCCAGGGCCACAAGTCAAGCTAGGCATCCACTCTACCAGAACTCCATCCTCAGTCCCCTGTGCTTCTTTTCTATTTTTTCCCTGTGCTTTTTTTTTAAAGAAAAAACTCTTAACTCTGACCATTCCTTCTGTCTCTAAATTCTTACCATCTAAGGCTCAACGGGTTACTTTCCCATGAACAAAAGTATACAAGTTTCCTGAATTACATGCAAATGTGTTCAGCTAGTGCCTCTTACCTGGAGCCCCTTTGGGTCTGAATGAGCCCAAAAGGGGGCCATTGTGCACTTGATCTTCCCTTCAGGGTCCATTTCAATGTCCCACCAGGAGAGAACCACTTGAGCTTGGCCAGATGCCAGAGGTTCAAACCGCCTGCTATAGAAGGCTGCTGAACTACTGACTTGTTTGCTGAAGTCCACACTGTGAAAGGATATTCAGGAATTGAAACATAATTTAATCTCAACACTGCATTGTTAAGCTTCTATGGTGAACTCATCAAAAAGGATACTTGGTTGCAGCTAGGTTTTCTTCCCAAGCAAAAATAACTTCCAAAGACCCAAATTTCATCAGCTGTCTCAAAGCCCTGTTCACTCAGGGAGGCTCCTTGGTACCTGAACATAGGCAGCACATCGCTGAGGACAGTGAAGTCAGTAGGTGACACCTGGTTCAGCTGTATGTCATAGACAGAAGGTGCACCAGGGCATCTCTCCAGTTCTGAGGGAGGAATGATGACCTGCTCTCCAAGACTGGTCTGAACACGGACAGGAAACAGCTTGTTCCAGGACCACATCCTTCTGGACTCCACTAGCTGCGCATACACAGTTGCTCTGTGGGGCACAGCTTCACAATTTTCCTAAGTTTATGTAAATACAAAACAAAAGAACAACAATAAATCAGGCATCTGACCCACAGTAATTTTGATCACTATTGTTCATTAGGCTAATTCAGTAATATCTAATACCTTCCCACTATCAGGATAGTGCATTGTTTTTAGTCTTATGCCCTCAGGAAAAGAAAAAAAAAAAAAAGGAACTACATTTCAAAAAGAAAATAAATTACACCTAAAATGATTTAAATCAGTTAAGTTCCTAGCTATCTGGTACTATTAAATACTTCAAAAATGAACCTTAATTGTCACCATGTTGATGAACTCCTATGACTTACTTGGAAGACAGAATTTAAGTCTTACTGCCAAGCAGTGATTCTAGCCCAGGACTCAAAAGCATCCTTTCAGCACACTCTTCTCCAGGCACCAGGACCAGAACCTCCTCACTTCAAAGTCTAATGGACAATCATCCACCCTCAACTGACCTGACATGCTGGATGTAGCTCTAGCCTTCTCTCTAGCTGTTCTCCTACTTCAACCATCCATCTACACATCAGGCACTAGGGATCAGGCAGTGAAAAGGATACTCATTTGTAATTACATAGAATCTCTCTCTCTTTTTTTTTTTTCTTCCAGTACTGGGGATTGAACCCAGGGGCACTCTAGCACTATGCTGGGATCCCCAATTCTCCCTTTTTAAATTTGTCTTTATTTATTTAGCAGTGCTGGAGATTGAACTCAGGGACTCATGCAGGTCAGGCAAATGCTCTACCTTTGAGCCACATCCCCGGCCCCAACCCTTTTTAATTTTTACTTTGAGACAAGATCTCCCTAAATTGCCCAGTGGGGCCTCAAACTTATGACCCTCCTGCTTCAATCTCCCAAGTCACTGGGATTATAGGTGTGCAACACTGGCCCAGCTACACAGGGTCTTTCTGCCTCAGCACTACTATGCCTCCCAAGCATTAACAGGTGCCTCAGGGTGTATGAAGAGCTACTAAGAACTGTGATAAACAAGATGCAGTAGTGAGCACTGTGTGCACAGTGGCTGAAATCAAAACAACACTCCCAAGGGAGGCCCTGACCCCACTACCTGTACAAGATGCCTATGTGCATGCTCATAGGAGGGCAGTGCTCCCTCTCCAATCAGTTCTGTGTCAAACAGCTCTGTGACCAGGATATTGGCTCGGCATGGCATGTCACCATCTGAAAAACAAAAGGGAATGGTGTCAGAGAACCCAATGGTTCAGTACACACACACACACACACACACACACAAAATATATATATGGAAAAATGGCAACCTCACAAATCCAGGTTCAAGGAAAATGGGTGCTTTCTGCATTGTTCTTTCAACTTTTCTGTATGTTTAAGACTGGGGGAGAGTCTTGAAAAAAATAATAATAATATAAATAAAAACCCAAAAAGAAAATCTGATAAAAATACAATTAGAGGGCTGAGGATGTGGCTCAAGCGGTAGCGTGCTCGCCTGGTGTACATGCGGCCAGGCTTCGGTCCTCAGCACCACATACAAACAAAGATGTTGTGTCCGCCGATAACTAAAAAAATAAATAAATAAATATTTTTTTAAAAAAATACAATTAGAGAAGGCTGGAGCTATAGCTGAAGAGGTAGAGCACTTGCCCAATATATTTGAGACCCTGATTTTGATCCCTCAAACCACAAACAAAAAGTCGGGGAAAAAACGGGGGTGAGGGAAGTTCCAAATTGTCCAAACTGAAAATAAATCAGTCAACTATGTGGAATTTTTTCTATCCTTACTAGCAAAATTATTTGGAAAGAAAAAACTGAATACAAGTACTTCAAATACTTCTAGGCTGTTGAAAAAGGGCAAGAAAACCAAAGCAAGAGAGGTTGTCTGATGACTTATTCACTGGGAGTCTTGACTACAACCACCAAAATTGTAATTCATGATTTAGAATCCCCAGATTCCTTCCATTAAATCCTCTTAATTAAGTTGGTTTCTTGCCACCCAACAATCTCCTAAATAACTGCTGTTTTAGAACAGGGTGTTTTTTGTTGTTGTTGTTAACTCTTGTTTTCTAAACCTCTATAATGAAATGCTACTTCTACAAAATTATAAATTTTAATGAGCCAAGAGACAAAATAGACTTTAGAAGGGGCCATTCATCATGGAGAAACAACTGTAAACACTTAAAATGACTCATGAATTACAATTTGACAAAGCCCACTCATCTTCCCTACACAGAGGACAAGTCACACAGATGATGCTAGAAAAGAGAAACATAAAATGGTTCAGCAGGTTGTAGTAGAGAAAGCTTATGCCTGAAGTCCTGCAGGCCTGGACTGGATCTTGCTTTCTAGTCCTGAATCCTCGATTCTGACCATCAGTTGCCTCATTCATGAAACAAAGAGAATGAGCTCTGACTCACATGGTATTGGTTAGGACATCAAAGATAAAAAAATCATCCCCTCTGAAGTACACTTGTATGCTTAATGGCAGTATTTAGTAAAAGAGGTAAAGAAAAAACTTATTTTTCCTGGCACAAAGACCATTCACTCAAGTGGCCTTGCCCATCTTTCTGTGATGCCAAAATCCAACTGGAATACACTATCCCAAACAGACCCCACCCTACTGCCACATATCTGCTCCTCCTTGATGTGTTTCTGCCCAATCACATTGCCCAAAAAATGGCATAATTTACCAGCTCCCAAAGAGCAGGAACCCTTCCTTACCCATTCACTACTGTATCCTGGTGCCTAGGACAACACAGCATCCACTAATAGTCAACTAGTGAACACTAGCTGAATTCTTTATTCCTCTCTGTCAGGCTGGGGATATAGCTCAGTGGGTAGAGTGCTTGCCTTGCATGCCCAAGGCCCTAGGTTCAATCCACACACACACACACACACATACAAAACTGTGTCATTCCACAGCCAATCAATCACCAAGCCCTTCCAAAATAATTTTTAAGCCAATTATAAAACTTAAAATGATGTATCGTCCCAATTTGCTTCATTAAAATAAATACAAAACTTTATGATCTGGTGAATTTTAATAAATATTTCTTGAGAACCTGGTATTTAGTGTGAGGGGGAGGTACAGAGAGGCGTAAAGTGGGGCAGTTACTCCAGTCACTTCCTAAATCTTTGCCAAGTGAACAGAATGGATGGGTAAGCAACTGCTACTACCCATGATTGCTACGTAATCCATCTCTGGGGAACAAACCACAAACTTACATGCCATTTGTAAAAAGGGCACAAACAGAACCTTGGAGAACACACATTTGAGAACAGAAAGAACATAACAAAAAAGAACCAAGACTAGGAAATGCCCCTGGGACCCAGGAAGAGAGATTTTGAAAGGAATGAATGGGAGAAACACCTATCCTGCAATGATTAGAGAAGGGAAACAGGAAGATACCAAACTTGTCAAAGATGAAGCAACTTGTTGAGATGGGGTTAAAAACAAATCCCATGGGTTAAATCCCTAGTACCAAAAAAAAAGTCCATTTACAAGAAGTTACATACCAAGCAAGGTTAACAATCTACTCACTAAACAAATTATCTCTGAATCCCTTAATGCGCCAGGCCATGTGCAGATAGGGAATGGAATTATTAGTAAGATCTACCTGGACCATGACCGCATGTCGCAGCTGTGAAGGGATACAGAAATTAAGTGGACAACTACTTAATTATTTAGCTATTGCAGTAATAAGTGCCCAAAGGAAAAGTATGAAGAAAGCACACAAGGGACCTGGCCTAATCCAGAGTATTTGTGAACAAAGCCTGGACAAGGGCATGGAGCAGAGTCACAGGAACAGCATTCCATGCAAGGCCTCCTTTGTAGGCTAGTCTCCGTGCTGTCAAGACAAATTTTCAAAAGTGAAAGACCTCCCACTTTGGGACACTATGGAGTATGAGGAATCAGACTTATTTGTCCACCATCATCAACCAAAAAACTGGGCAAGTGTTTTAGACAGTGAAAAAGAGGCAACACAAATTGTTCCCCAAGAGAGAAACAAATCAGTGAATGCTCCTACTTACTGCTCTGGCTTTTGGCACTTTCCAGATATTTGTCCAAGGGCCAAGAAGTAAAGCAGAGCACAGCAGTCCTACTGAGCTACACATACATAAACTAGATTCAAGAAAGTAGAGGCGGGCTGGGGATGTGGCTCAAGCGGTAGCGCGCTCGCCTGGCATGCGTGCGGCCCGGGTTCGATCCTCAGCACCACATACAAACAAAGGTGTTGTGTCCGTTTATAACTAAAATTAAATAAATAAATATTAAAATTTAAAAAAAAAGAAAAAAAAAAAAGAAAGTAGAGGCAGCTAGAACTGACCAGGGGAGGAAGCCAGAGAAAAAGTTACACAGAACAAGGGCTTCTGAACCACACAGGGTTCTCCTTAAATCTTAAACACAGGGTAAGATTCCGCAAAGCCAGGCAAAGCTGAACAATTTCCATAACCCTCAGAGGACTAGGAACACTCAAATTTTGATCACCCCAGACTACAGAATCCTTGCAGAGGCCCTACTCATACCATAACAGTCTGGTCAAAGTAGTCTTAGAGCAGTGGTTGTTTTTTTTTTGTTTTGTTTTGTTTTAAAGAGAGAGAGAGAGAGAGAGAGAGAATTTTAATATTTATTTTTTAGTTTTCGGCGGACACAACATCTTTGTTTGTATATGGTGCTGAGGATTGAACCCGGGCCGCACGCATGCCAGGCGAGCGCGCTACTGCTTGAGCCACATCCACAGCCCAGCAGTGGTTCTTGACAGGTAAAACTTTTGCCCTGCCTTAGATACTGGGACATTTATAAATGTCTGAAACATTTTTAGTTGGCCCAAATGATGGATGTGAGGGGAGTGTTCTGGGCATCTACTGGGTAGAGTCAAGTGACCCAACTCATGCCAACATTTTTAAAGAAGACAATAGCTAGGCACGGTGATGTACACCTGTCTCAGTGGTAAAGCACCTCTGGGCTCAAACCCCAGTACCAAAAAAAAAAAAAAAAAAAAATTACTAAACATATGAAAAAGAAAAAATGTGACCCAGAACCAGAATAAAAATGAATCAATTAAATTTTTTTCTTAGAAAAGAAAGAGACAGCAGAAATAAAACAATGTTAAAACTACAAGGATAAACTAAAAAAGCAGAAACAAAAGAGTACACACTGACAACACTGCTAAAATTCCATTTCCTTGAAATTCTAGAAAGGATAGACCTATCCTAAAGAAAGTGCATCAATGGGTATAATAGAGCCAAGGCTATTTGGGAATTAAGTATAGGGTCATGAGGAATCTTTTGGGCATGGTGTCAATATCCTATTATCTTGATTGTGGTGATGGTTACAAATGTGTTTCTATTTGTCAAAACTCACTAAACAATACTCTTAAAATAAGTTCATTCTTTTATGTGAATCATACACTGATAACGTTGATTAAAATTTGGATAACAGGAGTCTAATACTCCCATGCCTTAGGCTTATAATAAATTTTGTGTGTTCTTTTCCCTTTTTTAAAAAATAGATGATTTCCACACTTATTTGTATGCTTGTTATGTTTTAAAATAAAAGACAAAACTGTTCTTTTATATATTTCAGATTCTTCATATAAGAACAATCGTTTCAGTTATCATCATTATTATTATTGTTACTTTTATTTCTGCAGTGCTGGCAACTAAACCCAAACTCTTGTGCATGCTAGGCAAGTGCTCTACCACTGAACTACATCCTCAGCCCTTTTTTTGGGGGGGGCGGGGGGTACCAGGGGTGGAACCTAGGGGCATTTAACCACTGAGCCATATCCCCATCCCTTTTTATTTTACATTTTGAGACAGGGTCTCACTAAGTTGCTTAGGGCCTCATTAAGTTGCTGAGGCTGGCTTTGAACTTAAAATCCTCCTGCCTCAGCCCGCCAAATTGCTGGGATTACAGGCATATGCCATTGTGCCTGGCCCAATAATCTTTTAAATGAAGAAACATACTGACTTTAGATAGATGCTTCACTCCTAAAATATTGCATTTTCAAAAAAATTAGTGATACCCATAACATACCACAGAAAATTTTTATTTGTGTGTGCAAATGTTTCAATTGTGCTCTCTAAACATGGCATGTGAAATTTTAGAAGTCTGAATCAAATTCCTAGACTATTAAAAATGCGCTGGATACCTCAAGAGCATGTACCATACAGGAAAATGTCACATGCTACATGCTGAGACATGATATCAGAACTATATAAGCTTCTTCCTGCTATCTTAGTTTTACTTCTGTCTGACCAAACTTTAGAGAGGTTGGCCATATAAGAATTCCAACTTGCATAAAGCAAAAGCAGTTTTCAGGGCTTGAGATATAGCTTAGTGATAGAACATGTGTGAGGCCCTGAGTTCAATCCCCAGTACTGAAAAAAAAAGAAAGAAAGAAAGAAAGGAAAAAGAAGCTTTTGTTTGTATGACTGCTATTACACTTCATTAGCTCTGGTGTTTTCATAGCTGATTTGTTTTAACTAGTAGACTGATAAACATCAAAAGAAGCAAAGTGCATAAAGTCAGAGCCACTACACTGAGGACCTGGATTTATTCTAGGTAGTTGGAAAAAATGTTTTCCTCTCTCATACAAGAACAAATAAAACTTTCAACACAGGCGATGTAGATCTCACCTGGCCCTACAGTCACCTCAGTGGAATGCTTGTTCATAACCTTAATTTTATCACTGAAGCCATTTTTCTTCACAATTTTCACAGCAGCATCAGCCATAGGCTTGAAAACCTGGAAATCAGAGCCAAAACCCAAGGAAAAGTGAGCAATAAATACATCCTATCGTCTAGGGTTAGCAAGATATTCTGGCCGTCCAGGGTTAGCAAGATATTCTGGTCTTAAGATTTCTAACTTAAAGATTTCATTCTTTCCAAATCCTTAAATGCTTTATTCTACAAATATGTGTCATGCAAGTAAACATAAAAGGATGAGATTCAGGATTAACATGCATTTAGGAGCTTCCACTGCATACCCAGCAAAGCGGGAATAGAGAGGATCCTGCACTTCTTAGGAAGGGCGATAGGTGTCACTGCCATGCTATAGAGATGAAAGGACTTTGCCTCAAAAACCTGGTAAGTGTGCCACACTTTCCAGAGGAAACTGAGGCTGTTATTATGTTAGATTAAGTGTGGACAAATTACAGTTATGCTCAGAACTGTTCCAGATGCCCACTGCTGGCAGAATACATCCTACATTTCCTTACGGTACTCAAGGTCATCTAAATGCAGGCCACCTAACCTTCACAGCCATCCCCCAGCTCCCATACAATTCTTCCCCTGAACAATGCTTAGTTAGCCACACAGATCTCCCCACTGTCCACAGGCCAGCCTAAGGCTTCCCTATCCTGACCCCCACCTGCCATATCAAACCCATCTTCACAAGGCGGCACAAATCCTTCCCTCTCCAGAAGTCTTCCCTGAACTCAGCAAGTCTCCCTAAACATAAACCTCTCCAACTCTTAATTTCCAACCTGCCTAGTCTAGAGTCACAGCTCCAACCACATTAGTACATAAAACATACTAAGTCATATGTGGCCATACACAGAGTGGAAATACAACAAATGACAAAATCTCTGGTCACAATGACAAGATTTTCATTCTTTCCAAATCCTTTTCTGTATTTTCCACATTTTCAACTACGAACACATATTTTTTTACTATAATCAAGGGGGAAATTCTATATTTGGGGGAGAGGGAGTTTACTAGAGTTAAACCCACGGTGTTTTACTACTAAACTATATTCCCAGACCTTTTGTGTGTGTGTGTGAGTGTGTGTGTGGTGCTGGGGCCCAGACCTTTTTTGTATTTTTTATTTTGAGGAAGAATCTCACTACATTGCTGAGGCTGGCCTCAAATTTGCATTCCTTCTGTCTCAGCTTCCCAAGTCCCTGGGATTATAGATGTGTGCCATTGCACCTGGCTAGAAATTATATATTCTTTTATAAAGAATATATACATTGCGGGGGGGGGGGGAGGGGTTGGGGTTGTGGCTCAGAGGTAGAGTGCTTGCCTAGCATATGTGAGGCACTGGGTTCAATCCTCAGCACCACATACAAATGAAGATATTGTATCCACCTATAAATAAAAAATAAATATTAAAAAATATATATATATATATTGGGAGAAAAAAAGAATATATACGTTGGGGCAGGGCGTGGTGGCAGTCTATTCATGTACCAGCTCCTGCCATAGGACCAGCATCTCTCAGACTCAACACATCCAATATAAATGTATTAACTTGAGCTGGGGATGTGGCTCAAGCAGTAGCGTGCTCACCTGGCATGCGTGGGGCTCTGGGTTTGATCCTCAGCACCACATTTAAAAAAAAAAAAAAAAGATGTTGTGTCCACCGAAAATTAAAAAATAAATATCAAAAAAATTCTTTAAAAATTAATAAATAAATAGATAGATAAATGTATTATCTTTCCAACCAATTAAGCATATTCCTCTGGGTTCCTCTAACCAGTCAATGGTACCTCTGCCCTCCTACGTACCTGCACTAGGAAAACAACACACAAATTTGCACACTCCCTCCCATCAAAGCTACCACTACGAAGTGAATTACATAATTAGGAACAGAGCCTTTGGTTTCAGGTCTAGCTTTCCTGTTTATTAATTGCAGGACTTAAGTCCTTAACCTCTCTTGAGTCTTAGTTTCTTCATTTGCAAATTAAAGATAATAAAATCTACTTTGGGACTTTTGTGGTCGGGTGCTTGCTTAGCATGTGCAGGGCGCTGGGTTCAATCCCCACCCCCCCACACACACACATACACAAAGCCCAAAACAATAAAATCTACTTTAAAGCTATCAAGTCAACCATCCTAAAAAATTGATTTCTTTGTATCTGCTCAAATACCCTTGTGAGTCCCTTAAAGTACAGAAGAGGGTTTTTTTTTTTTTTTTAAATATATTTATTTATTTATTTGCTTTTAATTACAGGTGGACACAATACCTTTATTTTATTTTTATGTGGTGTTGAGGATCAAACCCAGTGCCTCACGCATGCTAGACGAGCACTCAACCTCTGAGCCACAACCCCAGCCCCTGAGCCACGACCCCAGCCCCCAGAAGAGGTTTTTACTCCTTTCTATGAAATTCCATGACAAGTGCATAGTTTCTCACACATGTACTATAACTCTCAGGACTTGATCTCATGGAGACCTCAAGTCCATTTTCTTTATCTCAGGATAAATACACCTAACTCAAGAGGCTGAGGATGTAGTTCCATGGTACAGTGCTTGCCTAACATGTGCAAGACCCTGGGTTCAATTCTCAGCACTACCAGGCCAAGTATGGTGGTGTACACCTGTAACTCCAGCAGCTCAGGAGGCTGAGGCAGGAGGACTGTGAGTTCAAAGCCAGTCTCAACAACTTAGGAAGGCCCAAAGCCACCTAGCGAGATCCTGATCTAAATAAAATGTTAAAAAAAAAAAAAAGGCTGGGGATGTGGCTTAGTGATTAAGAGCCCTCGAGTTTAATTCCTGATACCAAAAAACAATTTTTTTTAATAACTCAAAATTTTATTTAAAACTCTTTACTGTGGCATGTAGGTCCTAGACAAACTGGTTGCACTCTACCTTCCTGATCTATCATGTCCTTTACCAAGACACTGAATAACACTGTTCTCCAAACAATATTTCCTTAGCCTAAAATAGCCACCTTTCTATAACATGAGTATCAGAGGCCACAGTGTAGGGATGACAGGGCAGGGAGCTGAAAAAAGCCTGGATAGAACATGCTGGACTGTTAACCACCAGACTTTACATGAAATAGCAAAAAAAAATAAAAACCTATTTTAAGTCACTATTATTTTTGATCTTTATTATTTCCATCTCAATAACTGAATCCAATTTTGTAGAGAAAAATACGTAAATTTACACCCCCCTGTACACCCCAAATTTTAACAATGGTTAATTGTGGGTTAATAAACAACTTATATTTATCAAATTTCCTATAATATACATTATTTACATTTCAGAAAATTATGTTTAATGTTCTAAGAAATAGCTGATTGGTAAACATATGATAGATTGCTCCATAGGAACATTTAACTTTGCTGCATATTCCAATTTCCCAACACCAGGCCATAACCCAGAAAAATTAAATCAAAACCTGTTGTGGGGGTGGGGGCTGGGGTTGTGGCTCAGTGGTACAGCACATGCCTAGCATGTATGAGGCACTGGGTTCAACTCTCAGAACTGCATATAAATAAATGAATAAAATAAAGGTCCATCAATATTTAAAAAAATTTTTTTTAAAAAAACCTGTTGGTATGGGGGAGGACTGGCAAAAGGTTTTTCTTGAGAAGGGAGTCTCACTATGTTGCCCAGGCTGGTCTCAAAATCCTGGGTTAAAGTGATCCTCCCACCTCAGCCTCCCAAGTATCTGGGACAACAGATGCATGCCACCACATGTACATGTCATCAGTATCTTTGAAGTGCCTCAGTAAATCTGATGTGCAGCCAAAGACTAAGAGCCACTGTTTTCAGAGCAGCAAATGAGGTCATGGAATCACATTTGACTCATCTCTAAGTGCTAAGAACCTGGCTCTGCACAAGGAATGGAACACGCCCTCTATAAATGTTTATGAACAGAGAAAGTGCAAAGGCATAAGGCACTTTCTATTTAAGACACAGGACACACGCTCAAAACAGTGTAGCTCACCTCAATAGCATAGCAGAAGTCAGCACCTGCTGTGACAGCCATCATTGACAAGAGTCCTGTGCCAGTACCAATGTCGAGAACTATGGCTTTCTGTCCTCTGTTCTTTACCCTGCTCACAGCAGTCCGGATACCCTGGTAATATTTTATATTCTAAGAGAGAAATAAAAGAGCTGTTACTTCACACCAATTATTATAAATAAGTAAAAAGGTGCTTTGCAGAGTTGGAGAATCATGGTTTGCAGCAACAATGTTAATCAGGACCCACTGACCTTTCCAGCCCCTGGAGGAACAACAGTGGCCAGCTGAGTTGGGTGGGCCTTCTAAGACTTCAGGAGCACTGCATCAGCTTCCAGCTCATTATTAAGTGATCATATTCCTTCCTCATTCACTCTTCTATACTCTGCTTAGTGATGCTGGGACAAGAGCTTTTTTTTTTCCCCCTAGGTGTTAGATACAGCCAATGGGGGAATAAGAGGGTGACAAGATGGTAGCAGCAGGGAGAATCTTGCTCCTTCCTACAAGGATGCTGCTCTGGTCAGGGTCCTCTCATGAGTAGCAGTTGGTTTCAGACCCAATTTCTCCCAGAACTTCCATAATAAGCCTCCTCAGAACCCTCTCAGAGAAGCAGCAGCCCTCAAGTTGTGATCCATTTCAGAGGTGAGAGCATCAGCTCCCCAAGCCTATACAGCCAGTTTCTGCAAACCTTAAATTTCTCCTTTTTCTCAGCCCTAGGTGAGGCAAGGGCTCCCTGCAAGCATTACCGCAGTAAGCTTTTTGTGTTCTTGCTGCCTTTTTTGGGAACCCAGGGGTGCTTAACCACAGAGTCACATTCCCCAGCAATTTTTTAAATTTCTGAGACAGGGTCTCACTATGTTACTTTAGAGTCTCACTAAATTGCTGAGACCGGCCTTGTACTTGCTACCCTCCTTTCTCTTTATATGCCTCTTGTATCTCTTATTTCTTTGCTACCCTCCTGCTTCAGCCTCTCGAGTTGCTGGGATTACAGGCATGCATCACCCCATCAAGCTCTTTAGTTATATACATAAATTTATATGCATATGTATGTACACTTTTGTATGTATCATTCATATATATATATATATATATATACACATACATATATATACACACACACACATATATATTAAATTCAGGGGTGCTTTACCACTGAGACATATCCTTCAGCGACTTTTATTTTTTTTAGACAAGTTGCATAGGGTCTCACTAAGTTGCTAGGGCTAACTTTGAATTTACAATCCCCTTGCCTCAGCCTTCTGAGCTGTTGGATTACAGGTGTGTGCCACTCTGCCCAGCTACTTTAGCTACATTCTTATGGACTTTTTCCCCTGGCTTTACTAGAGATCAAACCAAGGGCCTCACAGGCACCAGGCAAGTGCTATAGTACTGAACTACATTCCTTTTAGTATCTTTTAAGTTATATTCTTGTATTGAGATCTCTGAATTGATTGCACTATGGTCAAAGAGTGTTGCCCTGTGGATACCAGTCTTGTACTAGTTACTTACTGCTGCATAAAAACTTATCCCCAAATCTAATGGTCTCTTAATATTCCTTATTAACTTTATCAATTTAAAAAGACGTACAGATATTTTTTTCCATCATTTTTGTTATTTTCAACAGAAAGATCAGGGTACCTATTCAGCCAAACCAATACAGATGTAAAATAAGATATTTCTACTTCACTGAGCCATCAAGATAGAAAGAAGTTATGTCCTGCCAGGTGCAGTGGTACATGCCTGTAATCTCAATGGCTCAGGAGGCTGAGGCAGGAGGATCACAAATTCAAAGCCAGCCTCAGCGACTTAGTGAGACTCTGTCTCAAAATAAAAAAATAAAAATTTTTTAAAAAGTTGGGATGGAATGCCTTTTGGCCAAATCTCCTGGAAGCCACAGCAAAAAGGACCCGCTCTGCAGGGCAGACTATGTAATCCCACCGTTCAGCTTTGAAAAAGAAGGAAATCTTGTCATCTGTGACAACATGAATGGACAGGGGGCATGGGGCCAGGGTTTGAGGGTGGGCGTTAAGTTGAAAGCCAGACAGAGAAAGACAAATACTCATGATCTGACTTATATGTCAAATATAAAGAAGTTGGAACTTAGAATCAAAGAATGGTATAGTTAAAGGGTATAAAGTTTCAGTTATACAGGATGAGTAAGTTCTAGAAATCTATTATACAACATGGTGACTACAATTAATACTAATGAATGGTACACTTGGAAACTACTAACAGTAGATTTTAAATATTCTTACCACCAAAAGAAGCATGTAGGTAAAGATATATTAAAATCTTGATATGAACATAGCTTGATATGAACATATATACACACATCAAAACGCCATATAGTACAACACAAATATGTCCAACTTTTATCTTTTTTTTTTAAATTTATTTTTAGTTTTTGGTGGACACAACATCTTAATTTTTATGTGGTGTTGAGGATGGAACCCAGTGCCCCACACATGCCATGCTACCGCTTGAGCCACATCCCCAGCCCCCCAACTTTTATATTAATAAAGTTAAAGAGTGCAAAAAAAAAAAAAAGAAAGGAAAAAAACAGAGTCAGGGATAGGATTCAGCCTTCTGATTAATTGCCTGACCATTACACAATACTGCCTCTTAGTATTATTATCACATCATGATTCCTAGGGGAGTTTTGTTTCTTTTGTAGTACTGGGGACTAAACCCAGGGCCTTGTGTGTACTGAGCAGGCACTCCACAACTGAACTATATATACTCCCAGCTCCTTTTTACATTTTGAGCCAGTCTCACCAAGTTGAACTTGTGATCCACTTGCCACAGCCTCTCAAGCAGCTGGGATTATAGGCATGCATCACTGCATCCATCTCCAGAAGTTTTTAACATTCTCATATTCCAAGATTTCATACACCATATCAAAATAATGATTTCCCTTTACACTTACTCTGTCTTTGTCATGTAGCATATCTGCATAGGATGACCTAAAAGACAAAAAAAGACAGGTCAGAAACCTTTGTTCATAATGACACACATCAACGCATGAAGAGCATTCACAAATATAAATGCATTCCTCAATCAGATGAAACAAACAAATCATCCATTTTAAGTTATTATAATAGAATTAAAAGCTGTGATTCTCTGGTACTACAGAAAAAAATCTCAGAAACAGATGTTCCTTCTTAGACCCCAAAATGCTATGGTAATTAGCCCTGTCCTAACAATCTCATAGCCACTAGCATCCTGATCATGTTATATGTTATACAATTTCCTCCTTTGGAAGAATTCTAAATTCAATATCCCTAATCCTTGACCTAAGCTTGCATACATGTGCACCTTGGCAGGTGATGCTAGAAGGAGGAAGTGGGAAACGAAAATCACACATTTGCTATGTAAGTGAAGGCCATCATCCATCATGTCTAGCATCTTCACTTCTCTTTATTTATTTTTTATTTTTTTTGTGGGGGTGGTGGTAACCAGGGATTGAACTCACAGGCACTCAGCCACATCCCCAGCCCTATTTTGTATTTTATTTAGAGACAGGGTCTTAGTTGCTTAGCACCTTGTTGTTGCTGAGGCTGGCTTTGAATTTGCAATTCTCCTGTCTCAGCCTCCCAAGCTGCCCCCCCCCCAAAAAAAGGTACATCAACAACTAAAAAAGAAAAAAAAAGTTCAACAACTACAAAGTATTAAAGGGAGGAGAATCATTTATCCATATATTCTGCCATAGAAATTTACAAATCTATGGTCTGCAATTAATTCTGCACTTCATTTTCTCCCATAATACTACACTGTGTGGTTTCCAGTCTTTTGCTATGCTAACAAAGAATAAATTCAACCTAGCTGAGAGTAAAGAAAATTATATTTACTTGGGGTTAATTAGAATTGCAACCTAGGAAAACACAGATTTAAACAATCTTGAAAATTGAGTTCCCTGCCCACTTTTTAAGGCATATTCACTCATCATCTTTCTTGCCTCATCAGCTACTCACTTTCCCTCACCACCACCAGCTCACTGCTGTCACTAACATTAAACATCAATCATCAAGGACTTCTCAGCAGCCTTGTTGGGCATGTCATCTTTCCTAAAACTCTATCCCCCTTTTCACTCTGGCCAATCCCTCCTGCTTCTGCCTCTTGAGCTACTGCAGGATTTCTTCTTCAGCCTTTCATGTTCCACATCCTCTCAGAGACTATAACCCCTCCCTGTTTTAACTCCACTAATTTCAGAAGATCCTCTGTCTCCAGACCCACATGTCTATCTACCCACTGGCATATCCATCTGTATGTCCAAACCCAAACACATCATCTCCATCACCTTCCCTTCCTCAACACTGCCCATTCCTCCTGTATCCCCTCTACCTTAGGGGATAGCTAAGGTAGCTCCATCCCCTAGTCACTCTTATCAGAAATTTTGGTGCTTCTTCAACTTTCTCTCTCCTTCCATCACTGCTTCCAAACTCAAACTCTGAGTTACCAAACTCAAGCTCCCTCAAAGGTGTCTCTTTCTCTCTCCATCTCTACTGCCTAAGCTTTGGGCCTGCAATATTCACCCAAATGAATTCCTCTTTCCATCCCATTCCCCATACTGCTCTCAGCAAGTATTCCAAAATACAACCTGATCTTCTTTCTCCCACTTAACATTTTAATTACTCAGAAAATAATGTACAAAGTTTTAGAAGTAAGGCAACAGTGTTGAGCCCTTATTCTGTAGCAGACACATATTTCATGCAATCTCAAGCAGCCCTAAGATAAAGATATTATATAGTGACATGAATATTATTTAACAAGGCATGTGGTATTATACTACAGGTTGGTGAAGTAAAATAGCATGGCCAAGTTAAGAAGTGGTGAAGCCCATACTTAAGCCCATGTTCCTCTTCCTGTGTTTTATTCCAACTCTTTACAATGTGATTTCCACTGACCTTTCAGCACCTTCTCTCACCACCTACTTTGGTGATACTGGGAATTAAATTCAGATATACTCTACCAGTGAGCTACAACCCAAGCTTTTCATTTTTTTCAAGACATGGTCTTGCCAAGTTGCCCAATATAGTCTTGAACTTGCTATCTTTCTGGGTTAGCCTCCTGAGAAGCTGGGATTACAGATATGTACCACCATGCCTGGCTATGCTATAATTTTTTATACCTGTCTCTTCCATAAAACTGCACATTCCTTAAGGATGGAAAACCAATTTTCTCCATCTTGGTTTCCACAGTCCTAGCACAGTGTTTGCAAGTTGAAATTGCTTAATGATTGCTCAGTAACTACAACCACATACTTTCAAACCTTCCTTCTAAGGGGGAAAAAAAGCATTTTTCTTTTTCTTTTTTACTCAAGAGAATCTGCCTATGTAAGTGGGTCACCATTTCAGTGATACAAAAATTTCATCAACTCCACTAGTACTGAATCTTGGGTCTTCTTTACAATACTAGATAGATCTTCTGAGACTGGTAAGGCAGCTATAAATGTCTGGCACTCCAATGGGCATGACTGTACCTAACTCTACAGATACCTTCCTGGTTAAACAGACCTGCTCATGAATAACACCAGCTATGATCATTAAGCACTGAGTGACAGTCTACTGGAGCCATCCCAGCATGGATTACAGGCATCTGCTTTGAGAAGAGCGCACAATCCAGCTGTAGTCCCAACTATGAACCTGCCCTTGTTACCTGGCAATCTCCTGGTGGTAGTCATAGTGTTCATCCTCTTCCAGCCACTCAACAGATCCTGTAGTGGGATTGGCTCGCCCACAGAAGACCTTCATGGTGCCACGAGCTCCCCAGTGTCTGGATAGAAAAGCAGCCTTGCCAGTTTGCTTCTTAAGAACAGATCTGATGGTCAGAAATCTATTCAATCATGGTACCCAAAAATGAGGAGAGGACAATAAAACAAAAGGTGAGAAAAAAGAATTAAGAAATTGACAAAAATATCAAAGTCATTGAAGTATTTGTTAATCACTATTTTCATCTTTCCATCAAGATTTAATTGATCTTGCCAAGCAGGAAGATTGCAAGTTCAAAGTCACTCAGCAATTCAACAAGGCCCTAAGCAACTCAGCAAAACCCTGATTTAAAAAAAAAAAAAAAAAAGGATTGGGAATTAGAAAACATGTTGCAGGGGTTCATGTGGGAAACAATCCCAAAACCCTTATCCTGTGGTCCATGTACAACCACTTCTGAAGTCATTTAAAATTCAAGATTGTAGTATAGAACTTTGTTCAATGGAATTCCTTTTCTGCCGGTGATACTGCTGTGGATAAAACCAGGAATACAATATCCTTTCAGAACTGTAGTCACTGGCTTTATAATTCTGTATAATTAATTCCTTGCAGTGTTGGGGATTGAACCGAGGACATCACATGGTAGGCAAGTGCTCTACCACTGAGCTACACCCCTAGTCTCAAATAAATGTTGTTAGATGGGAACCATGCCCTGTATTAACAATTTTATGAATGACTGAACTTCTGGGTAAACACTTCCATGGATAAATCCCTCATATATTAGTATGACTTGTCCTCTTTCAGAAGGAGCACTCACTTCAGATTCAGGAGACATTCTCTGACCCTTTCCACATCCTCCAGAAGCTATGAACTCACATTTGAGGAATGAATGGAAATCATCAAGCCAAACCCTAATTGTATTACTAGTCAGATTTCAGTTACTCGTTCAAAACTTCTCTATAGCAGACACTGTGTTAGGGACTGGGATAAATAGGACCACCATTATAAGACAGAGGAGGTCCTTGACCCCTTAGAGAACAGACTCTATGTGAATGCAAGAAAGGAAGTGTACAGGGCACATTTAAAAAGAATAGTTACAGAAGGACTCTGAAGAAGACAACATTCAAGTTGCGAGCCTGCATCGCAAGCCAGGCTAAAAGTTAGGGACATAGTTTTTATATGCCAGGAATGCTTACCCCAACTTTCCAAGGGCCATAAACTAAAGTAGAAAGAACAAGATGCATAAAGAAAATGTGATAAAAGCCTGAATGAATGAAGCGCTTCCGCACAAGAAATAATAGGAGATTAGAAGTGAGCTTCTAGCTTCAGGCCTGGCCTGCTCCCTACAGAGTCAGTAAGTCACAATGAACAGCAGGGATGTAGGAAGAGAAGGGTGGGAAAGGACAGGAGAAGGGAAGACATAGCTGAATAGCTTTTGTATTTGGAAAAAAAAATTTCAAAAACAAAACTTTTCTTATTTTATTTGTCATCCTAGGGATCCACCCCAGGGCCCTCGCACATGCTAGGCAAGTGCTGACCACTGAGCTACATTCTCAGTCTCCCCCTACCCCACCCTACTTTTTTTTTTTTTTTTTGTCAATGGAGAGTAAGGTGTGAGGAAATCTGGACCTGGTGTGAGAGAGGGGTAGGGTCAGTGAGAAGTCAGGGCCTATCAGGAGCAGGTGGAAGTGACCTCTTTTTTAGGGGCAGTGTTAGTAAATCCAGCTACCTGAGGATGGGGGAAAGCAGGTATTTTGAGAGGCAAGAGGAAGCTCTTGATTAGGAGCCTAAGCATCAGAGCCTGGCGGCCAAAGGGAGAGTTGGCAAAATCTGAGACTCAAGGAGCTGGAGGGGAAATAGGGAGGGCCAGGAGCAAAGGACAAAGCTGAGAGGTCAGCCAGGGTGCAGAGGACCCTGAGTCCTGGCTAAGGTTTCTGACTGTGTCCCCAGGGCCATGGGAAACCAGAGAGGGAGCACTGGTTGGGAGTTCTTTGGTTATGTTAAAGGCAAAATTACAGCAAATTTAATGATAGATTCCATTGGCTTCTATTCTACAGACTAGAATGCAAATCCCCTGGGCCAGCTGTGGACTTTGTAAGGTGGGAACAGGGAAAGAGAACAATAGAAAACAAGAGCCTAGTAGTTAGGATCAGGTTGCTCCAGGCTGCTACATTTGATAAGGTTTGAAGCCCCTGGGACTTCCTTACTACCCTGACTCAGGTAGGCTGGAATCTCCCGTTTCCAGGAAAACTTGTCTGTTTGGGGATCTAACTGCCTCCTGAAAGTCCCAGTTTGATTACATGGTATGTAGCATGAGTCACTCCATTTTGGTTTGGCCTGGCCTTTTGGGACCCAGTTCAGGAACTCAGTCCAAAACAATGCCCAGGCCCTCCCTCCCATCATTTTTACCTTTAACAATGAAAAGCAATAAAAGTTGTTTTGGGGAGTGTAGCCCAGTGGTGGAGTGCCTGTCTAGCCTGCAGGACTTCCTGCCTTTGACCCCAATACCACAACAACAGAAGATAAAAAGGCAAAACCCAAGGCTGGGGCTGAGGCTCAGGGGTAGAGCACCTGCCTGGCATATGCGAGGCCCTGGGTTCCATTCTCAGCACCACATATAAGTAAATAAATAAAGTAAAAATCCATTGACAACTAAAAAATTAAAAAAAAAAAAAGAAAAAGGCAAAACCAAACAAAAATAGGGAGCCAAGAGAAGAATTTGGCCTGCAGGCTGTATTTGCTGAACTCTATTTCAGACTTTCCTTTTTTCAGTCCTGAGGGTTGAACTCAGGGTCTCACATAGGCAAAGTAAACACTCTACCACTGAGCGATATCCCTAGAACATTTTCATCTTGAGACTGGGTCTTACTAGGTTGTCAGTTGGCCTCCAACATGGGATCCTCCTGCCTCAGCCTCCCAATTAGTTGTGGTGATACATACCACAGATCCCCCTGATCCTTCTTTTAGATAATTCAAGTCATCCCATCTCTTTGTGATTTTTTTTTTTTTTTTTTTTTTTGAGACAGGGTCTCCCTATATTGCCCAGGCAGGCCTCAAACTCTTGAGTTCAAGGGAATCTCCTTCTCCTTCTTTTTTTTTTTTTTTTTCTGTACCAGGATTGAACCCAGGGACACTTAACCACTGAGCCACATTCCCACCCCTATTTTGTATTTTATTTAGAAAGAAGGTCTCACTGAGTTACTTAGTGCCGCGCTTTTGCTGAGGCTGGCTCTGAATTCGCAATCCTCCTGCCTTAGCCTCCTGAGCTGCTGGGATTTCAGAGATGAGACACCATGCCTAGCTCCCAGCCCTTTTTTATATTTTATTTAGAGACAAGGTCTTGCTGAATTGCTTAGGACATTGCTAAATTGCTAAGGCTGGCTTTGAACTTGCCATCCTCCTGCCTCGGCCTCTTGAGCAGCTGTGATTACAGGCATGCACCATGGCACCTAGCAAGGGAATCTTCTTGTACCGGCCTCCTAAATAACCTCCCCATTAGCTACAGACCCATGCCTCAGCACCCAGCATATTACACATTTTTGTTCGTGTTTGTTTTATCCAGTGCTCAAGATGGAACCCAAGCCTTAAGCATGCTAGGCAAGTGCTTTACCACTGAGTTACATTTCCAGCAACACTGCCATTCTGTATAAATTATATAAACAAAATATTGACCAAAAAATGATAGAAAATAATCATTGCTGCAAATATATTGCAATTATTCAATGGTAGTTATACTAGATGTCAGAAAATAATTCAAACTTTTTGGTGTATCTGGCATGCATGAGGCCCTGAGTTCAATCCCCAGCAATAAAAAGAAATAATGGAAATACTAAAAAAAAAAAAAAAAAAAAAAAAAGTGAGCTTCTACAAAATACACGTGGCCTTTCGATTTCCAAAAGCATTCTATTCTAAGTGCAACAGGAGTCACCCAAGGGTTTTAAGCAGAAGCATGTCTACATCAGGTGCCCACTTTTGCAGGGCCACTCCTGGTTACGGCGTTGGGTATATGAAATGGTGTTCAACGACACTGACTAGAAAAGGCGAGTCATCAGAGCTTTTTAATCGAGGAACAGTGGCCCAGTTCGTGGTGCGAGGCACCAAGCAAGAGTGCTGTCTGTAACACAGGCCTCGTCCTGTGCTCAGCCACCGGCCCACCGAAGGCATTGCTAACCGGACTGAAAAGCCAGGGCTGGCCTGAAAACACACTCTCCTGCCGGCCAGGGCGCTCCGAGCAGCCACATGCGTACTCAGGAAAGGTCCGGAACAGGGGCACACCGCGGCATCCGAGTACGCCCACGCCAGACACCTCCACCCAAGCCTGAGGCAGAGGACACTACGCCAGTTGTCGCCGGGACTCCAACTACGACCCCACCTTCCCAGCACGCCCAGCTTCTCACCCGGCGCAAGAACCACTCGGCTTACTATCGCCGCCGCCGCTACCGCCATCTTGCCGTGGTCAGCGTGTGGGGCGGGACCTTCGGGCGTCCACGGGGCGGGACCTGGAGCACAACTGGAGGGTTCTCCCGACGCATCCCTCGCCTTCCCACAGTGCTTCGCGACAGCCGCTATGGAGGCCGGCAGGACTGCAGTGCTGCGGGTGAAGCGGAAGCGCACCGCGGAGCCAGCCGAGGCTCTTGTGCTTGCTTGTAAGCGCCTTCGGAGCGGCGATGTCGATGTCGAGTCGGCTGCTCAGAAGACACCGGAGGGTCTGGAGAGAGCGGCGGAGAATAATGTCTTCCAGTTGGTGGCCACCGTGCACTCTCAGGTATTGGGCGGTGATGGAATTTGTGTGGAGGGGATCTTGGGTCGCTGCCGGGATGGAACCGGATCTCCAACCCCCTTGCTGACGCTACCCTATCTTCCCCTGCTGCTCTCCAGGAGGAGCCAGTCCAGGAGCTCGTGCGGGCTGCCTTGCGCCCTTCCCGGGGCAGCCAGCAGCGTATCCGCCGCGATCTCCGCGCCTCAGCTCGCGATGTGCGGAAAGAAGGCCGCTACCGGGTGGTCTCCAGCCGCCGATCCTCAGGGACCTCCGGCAGCCTGGAGTCCGTGTACGCGCCAGGAACCCCAAAAGCTGCTGGGGACGCAGACTTTCAGCTATTGGACCTGGTACATGAGGAGGAAGACCCAGAGGCTGACACCACGGCCTCCTTCAAAGTGAGTATGCATCAGGAAGTGGGTGCTGGACATCTTTGGTGGTAATACCAGAAAGAGTCTGCGCAGAGGGCAGCACTTAGTTAAGTGGCCGCACATAGCTTAACCTTAGGAATAGATTTTACCGATTTGATTTTTTACTCTACACGTATTTACTCAGCGAGTGCCTATGTGCCAGGTATTGTTCTTAAATTGTATGCATACAACAGTGAGGACAGAGAAGAAAACATTCAAGCAGAGGAGAAAAACGTTAGCGAGTAAATTGTTAGAAGGGGACAAAGGCGAGAAAGCGTGGTGCCAATTTTGTGAAAAAAGCCTTTCAAGTAAAGACTTGAAAGTGAATGGCAAGGCTGGGCGCGGTGGCACACCCCTATAATCCCAGCAGCTCAGGAGGCAGAGGCCGATCTTAGGAAGATCCTGTCTGTACATATAGTATTTTAAAAGGGCTGAGGACGTGGATCAGTAGTTAAGAGCCCCTAGGTTCAATCCATAATACTAAAAAATAATAAAAAAGGAAGGAAGGAAGGGAAGGAATGATGACAGGGCATTGGTTGGGGGGCGGGGGCTTTCAAGGCAGAGGACCTGCAAGGGCAAAGGCCCTAAAGCTGAATTTGTGTGGTGTTCAGTGGACCAACAGGTCTGGACCTGTGTGTTAGAGCTAAACCTTTCCCCATAAAGAGCTTTGCTCAAGAGCCTGCACAAAAACTTGCATCTGTAGTTTCATTGACTTTGATGGGAGAATCCTCTGAACCTGTAAATGACAACCTCAGTCTCCCTGTGTGCTTTGACCATGGGACACTCTCCACTTTCTCATGAGGTATCTGGTTTGAGCTATGCAGCTTCCTGTGATGAATCTGTTGAGGGGCATTCCACAGCACATCCCCCTAGTTTCCATACCTACTTGTGCTATAGGACCCTGGATAAGACATCTTATAAGCACTGGACTACATCTTACCTGGACTAGACCTATTCTGGGACATTTCATTCAAGCTATTCTTTTGAGCAGAAAAGATAGGTGAATCAATTTGTGATTTAAAAAGAGGTCAGTGCCCGCCATGGTAGTGCACATCTATAATCCCAGTGACTCAGGAGAGGAGGCAGAGATGAGAGGATTGCAAGGGACAGGCCAGCCTCACCAACTTAGCAAAATCCCATCTCAAAATAAAAATAAGGGCTGGGAATGTAGCTCAGTGGTAAAGTGCCCCTGGGTTCAATCCCTAATACCATTAAAAAAAAAAAAATGATGTCAGTGGGGCAAGCCAAAGAATGAGCAATGGTAGTGGTCCCCAGGAGTTGACTGTAGGCCTCTAAAGGTGGCCTCACAAAATGCCAGCCCATTTTATGGTCAGCAGTAGAGGTGGATTGGGTCTGTGGATCCCTAATGGGAAAACATCATGCCAAAGGAACTCAGAGAAGATCTAGATCTGTAGAAGCAGGTTTGACTCAGAGCTTGGGAACAAGCTGGCCAATTTATCTAACTCCCTTTGCCTCTTTTTAGGCCAGTGTTCTCATGTGTTTTTGTTCTGTTTTCTTGGGGGTTTTTTTTTGTTTTTTTTTTTTAAGTTGTAAATGGACACAAATCTTTATTTAAATATTCATTTATTTTTATATGGTGCTGAGGATTGAACCCAGGGCCTCACATGTGTAAGACAAGTGCTCTGCCACTGAGCTACAACCCCAGCTCCCATGTGTTTTTTTGTGTCAGCCAAGATCAAAAGAGCAGGAGGAATTCTTAATAGGTTTTTATTCAAAAAGAAGGACTACCCGTTAGTTTTACAGACATTCTGGATTTCTTTTATTTTGTAAAAATACCTCACACGTGCAAGGCAGGCACTTTACCACTGAGCTACAGCCCCAGCCTGAGAATAAGAATCTTAAATATTAACAGAACTGTAACAGGCCTTCTTTCACACAACTCTTCGGTTCCTCATGGAAAACGTTTTGAGTCATGCCTGTATTATGTTTTCACAGACATCTGACCCAGATGTGATCCTCTGCAATTCTGTAGAGATGATCCGCGAGCAGTTGACTGTATCTGAGGATGGACCAGGAGTCGGGCACCAAGAGGAACAAAAGCACGATGACTATGTGTATGACATTTACTACTTGGAGATGGCCACTCCAGGGTGGATTGAGAATATCCTCTCTGTGCAGCCCTACAGCCAGGAGTGGGACCTGGTAAGGAGGTCAATGAAGGGAGAAGGGCATGTGGCTAGCTAAACTTTTTCTTTGGTTAGGGTGCTTTGCCTCTCCGGGCTTCACTTCTCATCATTTTTCTTGTTCTTACTTAAAAGGAAAAACTTATTCTAGATTGGTTTTGTTGTTATTGTTGTTTTGTTTTGGTAAGACTGGGGATTGAACCCAGGGCCTGGCACACACTAAGCAAGCTCTCAACCACTGTGGTACATCCTCAACCTTTTTAATTTTAATTTGGGACAGGGTGTATCTAAGTTGATTATGCTGGCCTTGAACTGGGATACACCTGCATCAGCCTCCAGAGTAGCTTGGATTACAGGCATATGCCCCTGTGCCCAGCAGGAAATAAATTTTTCACATGGCAGTAAAAATTTACTCTAAACGTCTTTTAGAAACCTGAGTTTAGTGTAGGAAATTTTGGGAAATACCCCCAAATTTTCTTTCTCTACCATTGAACAGTATTTCCAAGGGGACTGATGAGGGTTGATATTTTTTAGAAGCACTGATAATTTTTGCTCATAATCTTTTACAAGGTTTACAAAATTATCTTCATTGTTTATGGCTACCTGTTTATAGCTATCCACTTTAGAGGGTAAATATGTATAAGGGCTTAAATAAAATCAAAGTAAAAACATTTTTTTTTTTTTGGTACTGGGAATTGAACCCAAGGAGACTTCACTACTGAGCAACATCCCCAGTCCCTTTTCTTTTTCTTTTGAGACAGGATCTCACTAAGTTACCCAGGATGGCCTTGAACTTGTAATCCTCTTTCCTCTCCCTCCCAAGTTACCAGGATTGGTGTGCACCACTACATCTGGCAAAATCAGACATTCTTAACATGAATGAGAACAAAAGCTTTTATTTATTTATTTATTTAGGGTGCTGAGGAATTAACCCAGGGGCACTTAACCACTAAGCCACATTCCAGCCCTTTTTAAATTTTTATTAATTTATTTAGGCACTGAGGATTGAACCCAGGTCCTCATGCATGCTGGGCAAGGACTCTACCACTGAGCCACACCCTTTTTTATTTTTTAATTTTGAGACAGGGTCTCTCTAAGTTGCTGAGACTGGCTTCAACTTGTGATCCTCTTGCCTCAGCCTCATGAGTAGCTGGGATTACCGGTGTGCACAGAAGTTTTTATTTTAATTGTATTAAAAGAGGAGAAAACTTTGGATGATGAAAGCTAACATCCTAACACCATATTCTTAAATTTTAATATGATTAATGAGAAAGATGTAGTTGGCACCTGATATACTCAAATTGTAAGAGTTAAGTACCTTCTCTTGTACCTGCACTGTACCCATAGTTTTGCTGTCAGGCATCCACCATGGACCACTACATAGTTCCTACTCCTGCCTTTGTGCACCTCCTCATATTGTGTTTTAGTTCTGACCTTTGGCATCACCCACAATCCATAAAATTCCTCTCCCATCTGGTGGCCCTCCAGGAGTTTGAAGATTGCTGTCATTACCTGCTCAGAGCTGTGGCTCCTCTGCATTCCATTCTGGTGGAGTTGACTCATCTCCTCTTAGCCTAAGATTATCATAGTCCCTTGTATAGCAGTTGAACTAACTCCTAATCTGCCTTTTTCACATGGTACTTTCACCTGAATCTCCCCAGTATCCTAATAGCTTCCTCCAAAGAGCATACCCTTAAGATGATTTGACTTAGACTCATGTTTGTGTTGAGATGTGCAGGTAAATGATGATCAACAACCAGATGACATTTATGAAGACGAAGATGATGAGAACAGTGAGAATAATTGGCGCAACGAGTACCCAGAGGAAGAGAGCAGTGATGGTGATGATTCCAGAGGTAGGTGGAAGACTGGATAGGGAGGGACTGATAAGATCCAAGTCTGAGATGAAGGCAATTGACAGGTACATCTCAACTGATTTCCTTCTCTGCCATTGAACTGTATTTCCAGGAGGACTGCTGGGAGCATAATGTCAGTCAGGCCTGGGTTCAGATCCTTAGTTCTGTCATTGCCTTCTTATGACTCTTATGCAGGTTACTCCAATGAGCCTCATTTCTCCTTCAGAAAATGAGACAATACTGCACCAACTTCAGTGGTTGGGATTTAGTTAAAACATCTAGCCCGATGCCCCTCTCCCTGCTCCTATCTAGGAATAATGAAGAAAGAGGGTTGCCAGTAGGGATAGGCCCAGGATTTTCACAAGTCTGTCAAATAATTTCAAAAAATTTCTACATTTCCAATTCTTTAGAGAATGATATAACACAGTCGTAGTATTTAGGGGAAGAAGGAGGAAGGATATCCTGGCAACTCAGTTTCTTTGGTGACTACATTCTTCTGAGTACAGCCAATAAAAATAATTTTTTGATGTCTCATAATAAAGAATTTTACCAAAGGGGAAAGTGACAAAATACTCCCAGTATTAGGGACTTGGTTAGATGGTGGGAATGAATACTTTTAAAATGTTCTACATTCTAGATTTTATTTACTGAAAAAGTATTTTATAATGGGGAACAAAAAATTAGACCTTTTTGAGAAGGGAAGGAGTTCTTGCCCTATAAAATCATAGAGTAAGAATCCATTCCTGGTGTCTCCATCTAGACTCTGATGAATATAACAGCCTCAGTGAAGAGGAAAGAGGCAGCAGCAGGCGACTGGTATGGAGCAAGTACCCTCTGGATGTACAGAAGGAGTTTGGCTATGACAACCCCCACGACCTGGATTCAGATTGATGGTCTTGTGATATCCAGGAGGTTCTACCACAGGCCTTTGAGGGCTCTGTGACTGGTATCAACTGACCTAGCAACATGCTCTTAGGATTCCTAGCTGAACATGTGGAAGGAAAAAGCAGACCCAATAGTACCACCCCAGCAGTGAAAACTTAAGGGAGTACATCTTTTCTACTCACAGTAGGCTACTTGACCTCTATCAAAAGAGACCCTACCATCTGGGGGAAAAAAAAAAATGGAAGTTCCTTTCACTTCCTGGCCCAGGCATTTTTCCTAATATTCCAGTTCTCCCATGCTGAAGCTAGAAGGGAAGGAGAGACACTTGTTTCATTAGCAGTAATGTTCTGCTTCCTCCCACCCCACTCCAGGCTGCCTACCTGCAGTAAAAGCCTGCTCTCTTCGATAGAGGGATCTAGAAGGGCTACAGTGGGTCCCTTGCAGGGCACAACCCAGTTATAACAACTATTAGGGCAGAATGTGGAATCTGAGCTGGGAGGTTTTAGTCAATAAGTCTCTGTCCTCCCTGCTTCGGACTTCAATAATGGTTGTAAAGATTGCTGTTGTCCTTTGGTAATGGGGCCAAGACACAATGCATATGAATGTGATACTATTTAATAAAGATTAACTTTTAATATGGAAGCAAGCAATTTTTCAAAAACTTTTCCCCCTTTTTTTTTGCAGTTCTGGGAACTGAACCCAGGAGTACTCTACCACTAAGCAACACCTCCAGCCCTTTTTATTTTTTTGAGACAGGGTCTCACTAAATGACTAGCCTCAAACTTATCATTCTCCTTCCTTTAGCCTAATAAGTAGCTGGGATTATAAATAAGCACTAACACACCCAACTCTTCAAAACCTTTTAAATCTGAATATCTTAGGTGTTTTTCCATTGACATTCCCCCATAAAAAAAAAAATGGGGGGTTAATGAGGTAGAAATTACAGAATTAACCTTAGACATGAAGATCTCACAGCAAGGGAGGATGAAGTAAGCATAACCTGAACTTGGCTTTCTATCGAGAAGTGTTTCTTACCAAAACAGTAATTGTTCTTCAGTATCTGTGGGTGACTGATTCAAAAACCTCCTGTGGATACCAAAATCCACAGATGCTCAAGTCCCTTGTATAAAATGACATAATATTTGCATATAACCTACACACATCCTTCAAATACTTTGTCATCTCCAGATTATTTATAAAATCTAATGCAGGCAGGCACTGTGGCACACCCCTGTAATCCCAACAGCTCACAAGGCTCAGGCAGGAGGACCACAAGTTCAAAGCCAGCCTCAGCAACCTAGCAAGGCCCTAAGTGGCTCAGTGGTTGAGTGCCCCTGGTTCAAACTCCAGTACCAAAACAACCAAAAAAAAAAAAAAAAGAGTGCAATATACATAGCTGATATACTGTATTTGGGGAATAATGACAAAAACTATGTTTAGTATAAGTAGTTTTTTTTTTCTACAAAAAAAATATTTTTAATCTACAGTTAGTTGAATCCATGAATGCAAAATTTATGGATAGGGAAAACAAACTATATATGAACAGAACAAATTTTGGTGCCCAAACTTTAAATCTCTTGTAAGCAATCTCTATCCCTACTCTTTTCAAAATCCCAGCTGCCTTAACTGTTTGGCATTGATTCTAGTCAAATAGAATTTTGTGCAGTGATAAATGTTCTATATCTATACTCTCTAATAGTAGCCACTAGCCACATGTGGCCGTTGAGCACTTGCAATCTGATTAGTGCAACTGAGAAACTGAATTTTTTTTTTCTTTCTTTTTTTCTACTGAACCTAGAGCCTTACACACATTAGGCAAGTGCTGTGCCACTGAGCTACATCTCAGCCCTTTTTAATTTTTTTTAAAATTTCGAGAAAGGGTCTCACTAAGAGCTGGCCTCAGATTTGGACTCCTCTCGCCTGTTTGCTGAGTAGCTGAGATTACCATACTTGGCCATGAATTTTTTACTTTGTTTTAACTAGCTACATTAGCTACTAGGTAGCACAGGTCTAGAGAAACACATAAAACTTTCCATTTGAGGTAGCCATCTCACCCTATTTCTCTATCACATAGGAAAGTGAAATATACAGGAAAAAGTCTTCTTCTCATCCCTTTCAAGATTTTATAGGTTTCTCTACTTGTCCCTTCCTACTTCTACCCATTCTTTTACTTTATGTCCATTTTATAAGCACTTACCTACATTTGTTCCTATCTACATGGAATTGTTAAATCTGCTAAAATTATTAGGCTCTGTACTCAGGCTATTACTGCAGCTAATTAAACCTAAACACAGGCTTAATACTAGTCATCTTAGTCTCCTTCTGTAGACACAGAAATGAAGGATTAAAAACCACTTTGCCATTTTAATGTACTCACTGCTGTTTATGTGTTCATTAAGTTTCATCAACATTAAAGGGCTGACAGCTTCACAAACTACCTACTGAAAAGGGTACAAACTGTACCATTGCAAAAGGGATTAGCACACCAGGAGAAGGATTTAGTAAGATTTAACAAAGACCTGGTGGGAACTAATTCCACTATGAAACTTGAGTCTGTAGGGTGTCTGGCTTCCCTCCCACAGAAGGGTTTCTAAGAGAAGTTTGTACCCAACACCGAGGAAGAATGTTGTCATCCTTCAGTAATGAGAGGAAGATGACATGGCTCACTAAGCAAGCACTCAGCACCTGAAGTGTGGTGTCCCTTCTTCTGAGAAGCCACTGGGGGGCGGCACATTCCTGGGAGAAGCTGGTTATTGGGTGGAAAACTAAAGCCAGAGTCAAGGATCCTCAGATAAGCATAATACTTAAAGGATTAGCTCCAGAGGAGCCCTGGGATGGTGCCAGCTCAGCTCAGACAGAAATCATATTTATATAGTTTAGGCAAGTCAGCCTTTGCACAAGACTCCTTGTCATCAGACAGGAATTTGGTATACAAATCCCCAACCCATGACAGTAGGAATGTCCCCCCATATTCTCATAGATGCATGCCCTGAACCAAAGACAACTGATCATGCTCCCCTAAAACTTTATTAAGCAAGTATATGTCCAAGGTAATTACCTTGTCTGCAACTGGGGTCAGTTTGGTGAAGAATGATCAGAAGGAAAGATTGCCCCACAGTTCTTGTCTTCACTGTCGACCAATTCCAAAATCTAAAGACAAGATGTCCATGGGATGTGCCAGACCAACAAGTTCTTCTGGGCCTAAGATGACAGTATCTGGGGGCATCCCAGAACAGTTGTATAATCCAATGCAGCCATGAAGGAAGATCCCATTAGGCCAAACCTGCTGCTCTGGACTGACCTGGTGGCCCAACTTAAGCACCAAAGTTAGTTGCTTTCCATTCTTGAAAGTTAGCTGAGGTGCCAGATTGAGGTTGAAGTAGCTTTTCCCCTAGAGTCTTCACTGATCTCCACAGGAAAAAAAATAGAAGTCCCACAAGTACCAAGTGCTTCCTGAGACTGCAGCCCTGCAAGGCCTCAGGGGCAAGGGAAGGTGGGCAGGAAAGGAGTGCACTATCCCTGTGACCCACACTGAGGCAGCTTGGAGTGTAAACAAAGCCTGGTGCCAATAACAGAAGCCAGGATGCAGCCTGGTGTGAGGTTTTCAGAAAAAGAAAATGACTACTTTCAGCACCAGAGTGGGCTTGCTTGGGTCTGCACAGCAGTCCCTCACACTGGCCCTTTCAGAAAGGAACAAGTTATTTGATGACTTGGGTCCATAAGATGTTCCCCCAAATTACTGATAGTGGATAGATTTCAGGTGACCCTCCTGAATTCCAGAATATTTCAGCCCTCTCAAACTTCATACCAGAAACCCAGAGATTAACTGTATCAACTAGAACAATGACCTAAGGTTTCAATAAAATAAAGGATTATCCTTCAAAAATATTAGTATTACCAGATTTCTGACTCATAAATTTGTTCATATCTACTTGTCAGACCTGAGCCAGTTGCTAGTAACACAAGACCTATCTATAAACTAAAGTATATGTCCATGATTTTAAAAATCCTTAAAGTTCACTTTTGCAGGTAAGACTCAACTGAAGATTGTGTGAAAGTGAACACAAAATCTATTATCAGAATCTGATTTACCACCACTTTGAGACATCTCTCAGGGCAGAGAGACTCGGTTTGGGGTATTTTGAATTTTTAAACACACACAAACTATTATTTCCTATACATTAATGAACATTCTTTTGCTAGAATTGGTGTTCCAGGTTAAATATCAATAAGTAAAGGAATACTGGAATTTGAATTTGGTGGTAGCAGTGGCAGTGTCCAGTTAGCCACAGAGCTGCTCCCCCTTAGCTGGAACAGGGAGGTCTTCCCCAGCCCTTATTTTGGGACTGCAGCCTCTGCCAAAGCATCATAGTTCCAGCTAGGAAGGTACAGGTAGGCAGGTGGCCAAAATCAACTCATTACAGAGCCAGAAGCTTGCCTCTTTTCTTAAGGATTTTGACCATAAGTGCAAATGTGTTCCAGGAAAATTCAGTCAGGCAGGACCTCCTCCAAAAGAAGGCTAATCTGTATACAGCAAAATCCTGTGGCTCCCTAAGCACATGGACACAAATGAGAAGTCAACCTTGACAATATGGAACTTCAGTGGCCACCATTGAGACCATGAACAGCCTTCCTCCTGTCAAGCTTATTGTTTGAGTGTGAAGTTCCATTACACAGAATAGTATTTCTCTTGTGGAATTCAGGAAAGGGGAGACACTGTTCCCACATCAGTTAAATAAACCTTGCTGTTTGCGCCTCCCCAAAAACAAACAAGGAATATAACCCTCTTCCCAGGGAAGAATTCTGAGCCAGAGGAAGAAATGGTAGCATTTTGAGCCTCTAACATCAGGAGGTTGCACCTGGTCAGAGGAAAGCTCCCATAAAGTATCCTCACTTTAGAGACTTTTGGTTCAAACTTCACATGCTGTGAACCACAATCAGAGCCATCAATCTAGCACTTCCTCTCCTCTGTAGCAACTTACCCAGTATGTCAGAGGTGCACCTACTCACACTGCAAAACTAAACAACCATTCCCCTGTTCCCCAACCCCCCTCTACCCTGAGGTCCCCACCTTCAGGTATCCCCAACCCTGAGTCTCCTCCCATAGCTTACCAATGAGTGAGCACTGGCCCTGAGTCCCCTTACAGAATGTGGCTCAATAGGCTCCTTTAATTCAGGAGGGCTAGGCCCACATAGTCTTGTTATCTGGACTTTGGTGGTTATGGCCACAGGTGGCCAGCTTTCCAGGCCTCAGGGAATGTCACCTCTGGCCTCTAGTCAGTTTTCCTCTCAATCTTTTTCTCTTCAGTTACATCTAGCTCAGTCAGGACACAAAAGCAAAGTTGCTGGGTGATTCTGGTGATGGTAGCTAAATGAAAACAAAGAATCATAGGTTTTAGCAAACACATTTAGCTGCAGCCCCAACCTGAACAAACTGAAGGCTAAAAGCACATTTGTGGCTCCTTTCCCACCTGTCCCTTAGGTACCCTGGGCCAGGCTTCACCCCTCCCCACTATCCAGCCTCCTTGTCCTCATTCCATACCCAGCCAGTCTGAGGCATGACCACTTGTTTTCCTTGTACTGTCAAGAGATAATGCTTTAACCCCCAAATAGGACTCTAAAATCAGAACTAAAGAGATCATGTCAAGATCAAAAGAAAAGTCTTGTGAGCAGCCAGGTCTCATCCTCCAAAAAATCACCAGCAGTGGCAAGGGGAGTAGTTAGCCCCTGTGGGAACCTGTGCACATGTGTATATAGCCAATAAGTGATGGGACAAAGAAACTCACCCAGGACATTCCGAAGAAAGAGAGGCCTCCGGGATTCTGGAAGGTAAACACCCACGAAGTAGACAGGGACCCCGGAGAGGGCAATCCCAATGCCAATGAGAGAATTGATGGTGTCACTGAAGAGAGGCACAATCACCAGAAACAAGGAGCATATGCAGAACACGATGGGAAAAAATAGGCTCAGCTGAAATGGAGGGGGGTGAGATATTAAATGAGATGAGATAAGGGAATAGGGCATGGGTAAGAAGGCATACTAGGGAGAGGGCCCCCACTTCCTTGTCTGCACAGAGCTGCTGACCTTGAGTGGCCGGGGCCGATCGGGCTCCTTCCAGCGAAGGTAGAGCTGTCCAACAACAGACAGGCCCACAAAGAACCAGTAGCTGAAGCTGAAGTAGTTGATGAGCAGGAAAACATCCTCCACGGTGAGGTAGATGAGTGTCATTGTACACTGGGGGAAGCAGCAAGGGAGAGGAGGGGAATATTATCACCAAAAGCCCACCCCAGGAGAGTCCACCTTCCAGCAATCATCAGATCTGATGTAGCTTCACCAGATTATCTCTGGTTTTCAGTGACCTCTTGGTATTATATACACCTGTTCTTCACATGAATCTTCAAGGCAGCGCCTCACCTTCTTCTGTTAGGCCCTTCCTACAATCAGTGCCTCCTTTCTTGTTGCAAGCACTTCAATAGCAAGGCAAGTTCTCTCCTCTTCTGATGGCAGAACTTGCCCTCTAGAACTTGCCCTCAATGCACCAACCTCAACATGAATCACACTCTACCCTAGGAAGATGCTAAACTTGGATTGTTTGGCTTCAGAAATGCAGATTAGCACCAGGTGTGGTGGCACAGGCTTGTAAATCTCAGCTACTAGAGAGACTGAGGCAGAAGTATCACAAGTTTCAGGCCTGTCTGTGCTATCTAGCTATCTATTTTTACGGTACTGGGATTGAACCCAGGGACTTTTAAAGATTTGTATTTTGAGGGTTGGGGATGTGGCTCAAGTGGTAGCGTGCTTGCCTGGCATGCATGCGGCCCAGGTTCAATCCTCAGCACCACATACAAACAAAGATCTTGTGTCCGCCGAAAATTGAAAAAAAGATTCTCTCTCTCTCTCTCTCAAAAAAAAAAAAAAAAAAAAAAGATTTGTATTTTGAGACAGGATCTCACTAAATTGCTGAAGCTGGTCTCAAATTTATGATCCTCCTGCCTCAGCCTCCTGAGTAGCTGGGATTTCAGGCATGCACCAGTACACCCAGCTCCACCTGGGCAATTTAACAAGACCCTGTCTCAAAAATAAAATTTAAAAGAAAAGGGCTTAGAGATAGAATGCTCCTGGACTCAATCCCCAGTATGAAAAAAGCAGATTAGCAAAATGGATCCATACCTCCAAGAGAGGTGGGGTGAGGGGTGGGTATGACAGAACTTGCCCTCTAGAACAAAGAATCCTGGAGGAGGACAAACCCACATAAATACAATTATCTCATACTAGACAAAGGAGCCAAAAACATACATTGGAGAAAAGACTCTTCAACAGATGGTGCTGAGAAAACTAGAAATCCATATGTAGCAAAATGAAACTTAAACCCATGTCTCTCACCATGCACAAAATTCAGCTCAAAGTGGATCAAGGACCTAGGAATTAGACCAAAGACCCTGTGCCTAATAGAAGAAAAAGTAAGCCAAAATCTTCATCATGTCAGATTAGGCCCTGACTTCCTTAACAAGACTCCTAAAGCACAAGAAATAATCTCAAGAATCAATAAATGGGATGGATTCAAACTAAAAAGCTTCTTCTCAGCAAAAGAAACAATCGATGAAGTGAAGAAAGAGCCTACATTCTGGAAGCTAATTTTTGCCACATGCATGTCAAATAGAGCACTAATCCCCTGGATATATAAAGAACTCAAAAAAAAAAAAAATGGGCTAAGGAGCTGTGCTATCTTTTCCAGAAGAATATATACAATCAATCAACAAATATATGACAAAATGTTCTATGTTTCTAGTAATTAGAGAAATGCAAATCAAAACTAAGATTTCATCTCACGCCAGTCAGAATGGTATCAAGAATACCAACAATAAGTGTTGGCGAGGATGTGGGGGAAAAGGCACACTCATACATTGCTGGTGGAACTGCAAATTGGTGTGCCACTCTGGAAAACAATATGGAGATTCCTTAGAAAACTTGGAATGGAACCACCATTTGACCCAGCTATCCCACTCCTCAGTCATACCCAATGGACTTAAAATCAGCACACTATAATAAGGCAGCCACATCAATGTTTATAGCAGCTCAATTCACAATAGCTAAACTGTGGAGCCAACCTAGATGCCCTTCAATAGATGAATGGATAAAGAAACGGGTATATATAAACAATGGAATATTACTCAGCATTAAAAGAGAATAAAATCATGGCATTTGCAGGTAAATGGATGGAGTTGGAGAATATCATGCTAAGAGAAACAAACCAATCCAAAAACCAAAGGCCTAATGTTCTCTCTGATGATAAGTGGATGCTGATCCATAATGGCGGGGAACAGGGAAAAATGGAGGAACTTTGATTGGGCAAAGGGGAGGAACAAGAGGAGAGAGTATGGGAGTAGTAAAGATGATGAAATGTGATGGGCATTATTACCCTAGGTACATGTATGAGTGCACATATGGTGCGAGGCTACATCACGTATAATCAGAGAAATCAAAAGTTGTGCTGCAGTTGTGTACAATGAATCAAAATGCATTCAGTTGACATATATACCTATTTAAAATAAATAAATAAATTTTATTTAAAAAAAAAAAAAGAAGAAGAATCCTGGGGGACAAGAGTCAGGGACTACAGTCCTGAGACAGTTTGGGTTTGCTTAAACTCAAGTATGAAGAATTCTCCCTACCTAAAATTACCCCAAATTATCAACAAAAGATTTAAAAATTTAAAGAGATAAGTGAGGACCTTGTATTAAGGGATGTAGCTCAGTAGTAGAATGTGCTAGCATGCAAAAGACATTGGGTTTCATCCCCACAATGCAAAATATATGATGAACTGCTTTTCAAATCTCAGAGTAAGCCTTTCTCTGGGTCCCTGTTTGTTATGATTTGGATATGAGGTGCTCCCCACAAAGCTCCTATGTTAATGCAGGAATGTTCAGAGGTAAAGTGATTGAATTCTAAGAGCTGTAATCTAATCCATCGTAGTATGAATGGGCCGGGTGGTGGGGTGTGGCTGGAGGAGGTGGTCACTTGGCTAGGTGTTCTGGAAGTGTGCATTTTCCCTGCAGTCTCTTCCCTCTCTTTCTCTGAGCTTCCTTGCTGCCATGAAGGAAGCTCTTCTGCTGGACTCTTCCCCCATGATGTGCTGCCTCACCTTAGGCCCAAATTAATAAAATTGGCCGTCTGTGGACTGAGATCTCTGAAACTGTGAGCGCCAAATAAAATTTTCCTCCTCTAAGTTGTTCTTTTTGGGTATTTTGGTTTCAAGGGGGAAAAAAAACAAGGGACTAAAACACTCTTCCATATAAAACACCCTAGTTAGAATTAGGAGCCCTACACAGACATGCCCAAGCCCATACTGCCCCCAACAAAGCTTACATTGAACAACAAAGCTGGGATGGGTGTAAAACGCTCAATGTGAATCATAGACAGAAGATCTGGGAGGTGGCCCTCACGTGAGCCCACGAAGAACAACCTGGAGGGGTAAGAAATGTGTAAACATGTTTCTTTTAGTGAGCCATACTCCTCACTTGGACAAAAAAAGCCTAGAGCCCCAGAAAAAGGGGACAGTCTCCCAGGCTCTATGCATGCCCAACTCATTAGTCATAATACCCACAGATGCCTCCACCCTTAGCCATAAGCCCCTCACTAATACCCTAGAACCACCCCCCAATCATTATCCACTGACCGCCCCAGGCCATCAGCAATGGAATTTGCTATCCCCCACAGATACCCACTCTTCTCTCAACCAGATATCTCACCAACATCCCACAGATGCCACACCCTGCCATTCCAGAACACCTAGCACAACAATCCATTTCCCAGGGATACCTCCACTCTGCCATATTACAAATTCATAGCCAACCCAATGGCTTTTAAAGAAGAGCTGCCAGATTTCTATTTGTGCTCAGAGTATATCTTCCCCAAGTACCTGATATATGATAGGCCAAGGTGAGTATAGGGATCAAAGAGAGAACCCAGGCCTCCACTCTATACCTAATGAGCTTTATCAACTGAAAAACAGACGAGTATGAAAATGAAATGGTACCCAGCAGCATCAGAGTGCATAGCACTCATTCACTAGGCTTGAGGGTTGGCTGAGGGAGCAAAAAGTTTTACAAAGATGACCACATCTGGGCTAGAAGAAGAACTAGAGTTTGCCAGGAGTGGGTAGGTGGGGAACCAACATGTACGAAGGTAAAAGAGCTTGGAGGCATGAAAGAGCACTGCTTCTTTGAATGCTGATGCTACAATTCAAAGACCCAGGATGAAGTATACAAGGAGGGAGTTCCTGGAATTACCTGTATAAAAAGGCCCAGCTGGGAGCCAGTTGTGACTTTGAAATAAAGACCTGTTAGGACTTACTGCCCTCTGGTGACCCCTGGTGGCATCATGGTGGCCACACTAAAGCAGGAAGATGCTAGGGTATGAAAGAAAGGCCAGACAAGGTCATCCATTACAATTGTTCCATAATATCAGAGCCCTAAAGGTGGGTACCAAGGTTGAAGAATGAACAAGACAGATAGCATAACCTCAAGCATTGTACTGTGACTGTATGTGTGTGTATGTTTATGTGCAAGTTTGAGCTGGGGGGAACAGGGTGGCACCAAGGGAAAAAAATCAAGATACCAAGTAGCCAAGTAAGAAAAAACATGGGGCACAACTGGAGAGAAATCCCATGTGGAGTTCACAGTAAGTCTGAGATACTTGGGGGCCATCTCACAGAGTCCTAGGGTCAGTGACATCACCTGGAAAGACATTATAAGGCAAGATATTGGAATTTGTTCATTAGGCTAATAATTTGTACTAGATAGAGGAGAAATATGACAAAGGGCATGCTGGAAGAGGAGAGGAGGCAAAGATGTACGAAGCCTCAAATAGCTGACAAAGCAAAGAAGACAAAGCAAAAAAGATAACACAGGCAGCAACTTTGACATCATTCTCCAAGTGTCCTCCACCCCCTTACTGCCAATGCCACAAGACGACCGAGAGAGGTGAGAAAGCACCCACTATCTGGGACAACTGGCAGAGCCAAGTGAGATGTCTTGGAGCGTCAGTAAACATGAGGCTATGGGGAGTACCATGTTGGGTGGGGCACCCTGTGAAGAGCCACACCAGGCTAAGTTGAGGGAGAATGACACTATGTTTTCCGGGGGGGGGGGGGGGGGGGCGGGGTGAGGGGGTGGGCATTGAACTCGGGGCACTCAGCCACTGAACCACATCCCCAGCCCTATTTTTTATTTTATTTAGAGACAGGGTCTCACTGAGTTGCTTAGCGCCTCATCGTTGCTGAGGCTGGCTTGGAACTCACAATCCTCCTTCCTCAGTCTTCCGAGCTGCTGGGATTACAGGTGTGCGCCATCATGCTGGATACACTATATTCTTTACTAAGGCCCTGAAAACTCTATTACTCTGGTTGCCCCAGAGATGCCACAGATACATATATTGGTGTGTAAAAACTAGTAAAAAGAATGAATGGGACAAAGCTTTTACTGATTCATCCTTCTGTGTGTTCATGTGGCAAATATATATTAAATGCTACACTCCTGGCCCTGGGGACAAAACCATTTATAGGATAAATGGATGAATAATCAGAAAAGAAGTCTTCTTCTCAGTTATCAAATGTCTCAGAAGCCAGGCAAATAGTTTCAGAAAGAGAAAGTGTTCAGCATCACTTGCTTCAGAGGTCCAGTTGAATGAGGACTGAAGACAGGCTAAAAGGAAGGTATTCTTAATAAGAATATTTGTCAAGGGCTAGGGTTGTGGCTCAGTGGTAGAGTGCTCACCTAGCATGTGTGAGGCACTGGGTTCAATCCTCAGCACCACATAAAAAAATAAATAAACAAAATAAAGATATTGTGTTCATCTACAACTAAAACAGAAATTCTTAAAAAAAAAAAAAAAGAATATCTGTCAAGTAACAGAAGCCAAACTATAAGTGGAAAATGAAATGTTGACTACTGTTCTCAAGTACATACCAGGGATAAGGGTGGAGTATGTATTTAATATATGTAGGGATCTAGTTCAATCCCAAGCAGACACCCACACACAGTGTTTCATGTAAGGGGAAAAGGAGAGATGGGAAAAGCTGTGACTTCTCTAAGTAGAAATAAGAGAAAGTCATGGAGAGCTGGCTCCAAGTGAACATCCACCAAAGAGATGGGATAAGTGATGAAGCAAATGCTTAAAAAAAGGGGAAGTGCTAACCCCTGAGGCCAGCTAATGGAAGGAGACATAATTCTTTATCTGCATCAATAGGAAGACAGCTCTGTGCACTGAGAGAAGAGCAGGAGCCTACTTAACAGCCTCAGTGTTCTCTGTGAAGTGAGGGGCAGAGTCATCCTGTTTGCAGCACTAGTACCTGGTATATACCAAATGCTCAGTTATTAATTTATTGAAAGTACAAATCCTGGGACTTTAGTATAACCCACAAGGAGCCTAAAACTTGGTACCTGCCACGGTCACTACTATAAGCTATTTCCTTCCTCCCCTATACCCTTACCATCCATCCTAACATCAGACAGAAACATGAGGTACCAGTATACAAATGTTTGCACAAAAACAAACACATGCTCCCACACAAGAGAGTTTCTGCCTATAAGAGGGACAGAAAAAAGACAATCTCTTATACCTACAGCTCTAGAAAATTAAATGTTGTAGAGTATTATTGGTAAAGCTGAGATACATACCTTGATGAAGCAAAGATAGATGCATTGAGGCCCCCAAAGCAGGACAGGGCAACAGCAATAGGGATGGTCCAGCTGAACATGCCAAATGTCTGGTCAGCAAATGTCTGGTGGCAGAGCACAGAAGGGGCACTCAACACAGGACAGGGTTTCAAATCCTGTGCATTGACAATCTCAGGACAAAAGTAGTCACTGCTGAACAGCCCACCATCTGGCCTAGACCCATCCCGTCCGTCATCTTTCAGAGCTGGAGTAGTTGCAGAGGAGAGACTAGGCCATTTACGGGGGCTGAGGATCATAAGATGAGAAGAAAATGAGGTTTCCAAGAGACTCACCACAGCCACTGCATCACTGTTAAGGACATCCGAAATGTTCAGCATTGTGTAATAGGCCACGTTGGTCAGGATGTAGATAAACGTCACAATTGGCATAGAAATCCCAATGGCCAAGGGCAAATTTCTGTCAGGACAAGTGAGATAGAACCTAGAACCCCACCTAGAACCCACCTCTCCTAGGGATCAAAGTTCAGTAAGTCTCTAGGGAAATTTTCCTAACATTTAATAGTTCCCTGGCCTCTAAGTCTTTGAGGCAGTCTTTCCCCATGTGGCCTAGAGTGGGTATACATCCAGTGCCCCTGGGCTCTTTCTATTGAGAAATACAGAAAATCCTTGCCACAGAAGGTCCAATGAGTCCCACAGGGTTCATAATCCTTCTGTATCTATCATCTCAGGACAAATCCAAGGAGCGATTTAGTCCTATGGAGACCAGAAGCCAGACTAGGGGACCAGCTGGCCAGAAGCAGCTCAGGTTTCACAGGCTGCAGTCTCAGCAGCAGAGTGTAAGGTCTTGACACCTCAGACCCAGCTGGATCTGCTGCTGCCCACTGAAGACCTCTCCTCTAGGAAGGTCCCTGGGGACCCTCCAGTGCAAACATGAGGGTGATAACCAAGGGCTTTCCCACCATCACTCACTCCCACTCTCTAACCTCCAACCCCTCCTAACTGGAGAAGGGTAATAGAGAGAAGAGGGAATGAGAGGCAGAGGGAAGACTGTGGGAAGAGGGCAATGTACCCATTATCAGCAGGAGTTCCAGCCAAGCTGGGGAGTTGAGAGTGTGATCTCGCCTTTACCTTTCTGGGTTTTTGATTTCTTCTGTTACAAAATTAAGGGTGTCCCAACCTGAGTAAGAGAAGAGGGCAGAGTAGAGGGCAAGAGAGAGGTTTCCCATGTCCCAGGAGGAACCCTCAAAGGCATCCTGAAAGTGCTCAGAGTGTCCTGTGGGGACAAAAGCAGGTGGGAATTCAGAGAGAAGAAAGAAGTTGAAGGAGAATAGGGAAAGGGGGATGGAAGGTGTATGGAGAAGAGGAAAAATGGGGAAGATAATAAGAAAGAGGAAAGGAAAATGAAAAAAAGCAAAAAAGGGGAGGAAAAAAAGGAGGGATAAGAAAAGACAGGGAAAATATAGGACAAGGGAAAGAAAAAAAATATATCATTTAGCACCAAAAGAACAACAACCACCAGTTCCCTGTACTCTACCACCCAACCCACATCCTCAGAAAAGCTCATATTCCTTCCGTAAAACTAGACAATCTCAGAAAAACAAAGGCATTGCCTCGGATGTGCCAATATTTTTTCTAAAACCCTAAGGAATTTCCATTTCCTGCAAATGACTCACAGCAGGCCACAACTCTTCTTCTATTTTTTATAACACCACAAGGCTTTCACATAAAGAGGTCATTTTCCACTACTCATTAGAACTTCCTGTGAGGATCTTGGCCCACATCACTGCACAATTTGGTCATGTGGGTTTATCAGTCTTGCAGAAAGGATCTGCCACTCCACTTGCAGTGGGTATGGTTGCACGGGGCAGGAAATCACAGGCTATACAGGAAATGAGATTTTCTTGTCTCTCATGGGGCCACACTCACTCTTCAGGGAGCCAACCCAGGCACCTGTCATTCTCTTTAGAGACCTCTGGAGACTACAAATCTGAAATCCCAGGGGGCAGCACCCTGCCACCCAGATCAGAGACCTTCTGGACACACTGAGGTTTTTTAACAGAACTCAGACTTCTAAGGAAGCTTGTAATAACCTGCTGCAGAAAGCCTAGATGCAGTTTTCAATATGGAAGAAAGGGCTAGGTGTGCAGTAAGAGCAGTGAAAATAGATATCCATCCTCCCGGGGTGTCAGTCATTGCACACAGTGGTTCCCTGAAGCACAGATTTTGGGAGGAGAATTACTCAACAATCACTGACACCAAGATGTTCTTGAGACTCCAAGGACACCCAGATGGCTGGCTGCACTTAGCATGAGTGCACAAAGGTCCTGGACTGATCACACAGGATACTTATTAAAAGCACAGCTTTTTGGATTTAAAACCAGCCAAAGCTTAAGCCAGGCACAGTGGTACATGCCTGTTATTCCAGTAACTTGGGAGGCTAAGGCAGGAGGATTGCAAGCAAGGTTAGCCTCAGCCACATAGTGAGACCCTCTCTCAAAATAAAAACTAAAAAGAACTCAGGCTGTAGCTCAGTGGTAAAGCACCCCTCCCCACCCTTATTTCAAACTCCAGTACCAAAACAAAACAAAAAACAACCAACCAAAGTATGATTCAATAGGTCTTATATGAGGGTCTCAGATCCTCATGGGGTGTAAACAGACACATTTAGGGATGGATGATCTAGAAAATGAGATCGTTAAATGAGGGAGAAATCCTTGGCTAAAGACCTCTCAGGACTTCTCTAAGGGCTCAGGAGATCTTAGGAGGCCTGTTACCCTCACTGCCAATCTGCTCTGATCTAGAAATGAAAAGCTTTTAAAAGCCTATGTAAGGAAAGACAGTGTCAGTTTCCTAATATTCTAGTATTTTCTTAAGAGCTGACTTTGGGACAGAATGCTAAATGCAAGTTCAGATGAAAAGTAAAGGCTACAAAATAACCACTCATTTCCACACCCACACACACCCTGACACTCCCCTCCAGGAAGATCAAATTTTCCTATCCACTGCCTGGCAGTCACAGACCCAAACCCAGGAGCCCACTCTATCCTCCCCCTGGTTACTTTTGTGACCCAATTATGACCCAAGTTTCAAGACTTTCTAGGCCCTCAACTGGCTTCTTACAATGGTCCCAGTCTCCACAAAATTAAAGCAGCCCTGAGGGAGGGCCTGACATATCTAGCCTGGCCTACAAGGGCAAAAAGAGATTCAAGGCCATCTCTTGAACTCACTGAAACACTAACATGTACACAGAAAGAACTGAGTAGTAAAGCTAGCAAAGTCCCCATATCTTCCTCAGGGAACCAGAGGAGCTCCTGGACATCCACCCTTCTTCCCACCTCAGGCCCCTCTTACCCTGGCACAGTTTAACAATGCCCATGACAATGATGGCAATGAGGGCTAGGACCTTGGCGTAAGTCAACGTGTCCTGTACTCGTGTGCCCCACTTGACATAGGCACAGTTCACAAATGTCAGCAGACCTAAGAGGAAAACCATAAAGTCACTGCCAGGCTTAAGCTGAAGGCACATAGGCCCACCCTCTTTACAGAGAGCATCACTTCTGCCCTTCTTGCCTAAATTAGAGGGAACAATGGACAAATGAGAACCAAAACAGGCAAATAGACAGATAACTTGAACCTGCCCCACCTGACAGCACCTATGAATGTCCCAATACTGTGGATATTCAAAGATAATAAAGGTAGCCAGGCACATGGTGCATACCTGTAATCACAGCTACTCAGGAGGCTGAGATAGGAGGATCACAACTTTGAAGCCAGCCAGCCTCAGCATCTTATTGAGACTCTGTCTCAAAATAAAACAAAAAGGGCTGGGTCTAATTCAGTCCCCATTCCCTCTAAAAACCATCTCCCCAAATACCAGCTATCCCCTCCCTGTGTACTCTCTCCCCTGAACCCTATGGCATTCCCACTTCATAGCTAGAGTCTGATGCTAGGTTCCTTTGGACATCTGTCTTAAAACAGGTCTTTTAGGTGTTTATGTGCTTCCCCAAGATCACAGATTTTCAGACGGCAAAAAAAGCAAAGCATGTTTTTAAGCTCACTGCTAAGCAAAGGAGAACTAAGGAACCCTTACTGGAATCAAAGTAGCGATGGCTTTCACTTGACAGCCAATTCACTGGGATAAGGCAATTGTCAGAAAGGTGTCAAAAGGAGAACACTCAGGGCCAGCTGTGGAAGTAAACACGAGGCAGAAGAGTCTCTATGGTGCTTTAAGAGCTTCACTCAATACACTGGCAAATTACACAGGTGTTCACTAGTCAATCATGAGGGGGGACTGGAGGCATCAATGGACACAAAGAAGCAACCCAAAGGAGTGTGTGCTGCTGGAAAGTCTTCCCAGGGACCTACCTGATTATCAAAATTGTATGTATGGGCTAAGCCTAATAGGCTAACATACATAGTTAATAGCCACCAGTAATCCACAGACCTCTGTAGATTACCCCTGTGGATATAATACAGTAAGCATATTTTTAAGTACTTACCCAGTCCCTTCTTGAGAATTGCTTCCCCTCTTCATCATAGCTAACTAAGCCAGACATTGGACCCATGCTGGCTTTTTAGATTGTCTCCCCCAGGAACATGGAATTTGAATACCAAGAGACCAAATCTAATAGTAGCAGGGTACTCTAAAATGAGTTGGGAACCACAACAAGTCAAACACACAAGCCCTTGGTAACAGAGGACCAGAAACCACAAGTAAGCAGAGGAAGGAAGCAGGACTACAAAAAGAAACAGAAGTGAGAGAGTAAGAAATACTCAGAACTGGACATAGGGTGCACACCTGTAATCCCAGCAACTAGGGAAGCTGAGGCAGGAGGATTGCAAGTTTGAGGCCAGCCTCAGCAATGTAGCAAGACCCTAAGCAACTTAGCAAGACCTTATCTCAAAATTTAAAAAAGGGCTGGGATGTAGCTCAGTGGTAAAGCACCCTTGGGTTCAATTCATAGTACAAAAAAAGAAAAGAAAAAGAAATACACAAAGAAAACAGCAGAGATAGATACAAGGCAAAGACAATGAGATAGAGACACAGGGAAGGAAACAAAAAGAAAAAAAAAAAAAGATAACATGGATGAAAAAGGATCCACATCAGAAAAGAAACTGACAATATCCTGGAAGTGCTCACTGAGCTTGTATGTAGAACCAAAATGGGGAAGGGACTGATAACAATCTTCATTCCACAATGCCAGGCATAGCACCTTCTCCTTCCCTCAGTCCTGTTGCTAATTTCCTGCAGGGCTAGTCCTTTCTGCACACAAGTAAATAGAGCACACTGTGGAAATTCAATGACTGTGAGCTAAACTAATGAATAAAGTCCATTCCCCAAGGAAGTCCCTGCAGGGTCAGTTCCAAAAGACCTGCTGCAAGGATATAAAAGCACCTGGTCAGTAACACTAACTCCTGAGAAGAAGACTAAAGATCTGGAGAGGGAGGGAGCCTTTTTCTACACCATTTTATACTTTGACACATTCACTATGCACATATACTTCTTTCTCAATGAACATAGTTAAAATGCCACAATGTATGGCCAGAGAACAGGGCCAGGGGTAGGATCAAAAGTCAGATATCCAGGGCACAAAATGTAAAAAAAAATCCACTTTCAGGGGACCACGTGCAGGAACCTGAGAGTGAGTGTATCCTTACATCCTGGCTCCAGGCTCCTAGCTTGCCTCATTCTACTCTCAGCCCTGCCAGAGAACATTCTACCAAGCAGAAGCCAAGTCCCTTGACTGCTTTCCTGATTCTAGTTAAGAAACACAATTTCACCATCTAAATCACACCCCTTGATGCCTCCCAGAACTCCAAGCCCATGGGGCTGGGGTTGTGGCTCAGTTGTAGAGTGCTTGCCTAGCAAGTGTGGGGCACTGGGTTCGATTCTCAGCACCAAATATAAATAAATTAAATAATAAAGGTCCATTGACAACTAAAAAAGAATGTTAAAAAAATAAAATAAAGAACTCCCAGCTAGCTAGCTCACTACACTGTATCAGAGCTCAAAGACAAGGCTGAGCCTTGTGGCCAGGTGCTCAGATTCCGCTGCCTCCACTTGAACTTCTAAGCTTTCCCTCTCCATGGCATTTCCTTGCTGGATAAGCTGGCACCAATAAGCAGGGACCCATTATGAGGCTCTCTCTCCCAAAGAAATCAGTACTCAAAGAGATCCAGACCCAACCCTGACACAGAAACAAATTCCCAAAGTCTCTCTGTGGTAGAGATTGCTAGTCATCTTCCATGGTCATTACTTACCAAATAGAAACTTGAGCTAGTCTTGGCCACTCTAAAACAGACATTCCTAGTTTCCTCTGCAAGTAGTTAAGGCTAGGAAACTAGACTTTCTCCCAGATATGTGAGCAGATAAGACCTCTAAAAGGAAGAGTATACCTTTGTCCTTCTGGTCACCTACAATGCCCAACATGACATGTGGAGCTTGAGTAGTCATTCTGGACCACAGTTAGACGTCACAGGCTGAGGATGGCAGAGCATTAAGATAGAAGAAAGAAACCTGGCTCTCTGAAGCATTTTAAAAGTTGTCTTACCAACCCAACCTGCCTATTTTTAACAGGTGAGAGAAATAAACTTCAACATTGGAGTTATGCTTCTTTGGGTTTTCTGTTGTATGAAACCTAAACTAATCCTAAGTAACATGCTCCTCCTGACAGAGCTGTACCTCTAACACTCTTCCTGACAGCAAGTGGCTGGTCGGCCTGAAGCTGTAGTCCCAGCTATGCTGAGAGTCACAGTTTCCTTTTCCCAGAGGGGAGAGGAGAGAAACCTTCCAAGTCTTCTCACAAACAGGCTGGGTGTTACCAAGGGCATCCAAGGACAAAGGAGTACGGTCCTACGTGGCAATGACAAAGGTGGTGGGAAAAAAAAGGGGGGCAAATTTTTATTTTTTTGTGCTGCTGAGGACTGAACCCATGGCCTTGTGCATGAGAGGCAAGCACTCTACCAACTGAGCTATATCCCCAGCCCAAGGGGGCCAATTTTAAGTCTTTTCGGAGTGAAATGCTCTACAACAGTCCATTTCCTTCCAAATGGAAATCCAGAATCAGTAGCTACCTCCTAGAATGTATAGGAATATGTAATTTAGGTGCCTTTTAAGGAGTATTCCTAAAGCAGGGCCCAATGGCATGCCCCTACAGTCCCAGCTACTCAGGAAGCTGAGGCAGGAGGGTCACTTAAGCCTAGATCAGGGCCAGCCTGATCAACACAGCAAGACCACATCATAAAAATAAATAAATAAATAAGCCAGGTGCAGTGGCATATGCCTGTAATCCTAGCAACTCAGGAGACTGAGACAGGAGGGTCACAAGTTGGAGGTTAGCCTTGGCAACTTAGCAAGAACCTCAGCAATTTAGCAAGCCTCTGCCTTAAAATGAAAAATAAAAAGGATGGGGATGTAGCTCAGTGGTAAAGTGGCTCAGGTTTGATCCCCAGTTCTGCAAAGAAAAAAAAAAAGCAGCAAAGAAAAAAATTAGATCCTAATTTCTGAAAATAGCAGAACTGCCAACCCTGGTAGTGCACAACTGTGATACCAGCAATTCAGGAAGCTGAGACTGGAGGATCACAAACTTGAGGCTTGAGACCTGTCTCAAAAAAAGGACTGGGAATATAGCTCATATCAAGCCCTTTTTATTTTGAGAGAAGGGTAAGGTACCCCTGGGTTCAATCCCAGTAACAACAGATAGTCAGATAACTGAATAAATAGATAGATAGATAGATAGATAGATAGATAGATAGATAGATAGATAGATAAAACTACCTGGGGGGGGCATATAGCTTAGTATTAGAATGTGTGGGGGGCAAGGGTTCAATTCCTAACACCAAAAAAGAAAAAAAAAAAAGAATCTTTGTCTTTAATCATACAAATATATCTAGTCTTATTATCCGAACACTTGAACTACATATAGGGTTAGAGTCTTTGAGCAAGATCAAGTCTCCTTAGCCTTGTGTCACTTAGAAATATGAAAGATGGCTGGGTGCAGTGATACAAGGCTGTAATCCCAGCAATTGGGGAGGCTGAGGAAAGAGGATTGCAATTTGATTGCTAAATGGCCAACCTCAGACATTTAGTGAGGCCCTAAGCACCTCAAAATAAAAAATAAGAAGGGCTGGGAATGTAACTCTGATAAAGTGCTCCCCAGTACGAGAGAGAGAGAGAGAGAGAGAGAGAGAGAGAGAGAGAGAGAGAGAGAGAGAGAGACCCATCTATCCATAGTAACTACTGATCATAATAGGGGGAGAATATCCGCCCCCCCCACCCCCGGCCTTTTTTTGGTACTGGGAATTGAACCCAGGGGCACTTTACCACTGAGATGCATATCAAGCCTTTTTATTTTGAGAGAAGTTCTCACTGTGTTGCTTAGGGCCTTGCTAAATTGCTGAGGCTGGTCTCAAATTTGTAATCCTCTTGCTCCAGCCTCCCAAGTCACCCAGCAAGAATATTCCTTTTATTCAAAAGT